TCCGCCGCGGCCTCCCTCTCCTTTTCTCTGCTGTTGCTGCTGCTGAGGGAGCAAGTGTACCTCTGAGTTTTCTCGTGGGTTCTGCTGGCTCCCAGAAGTGCCTAGGAGGCTGTCAGGGAACAGGGGGTACCTCCTTCTGGTCGTCAGAGAGGGTCCTTTGAGGCTCGCGGGTCTCTCGTCCCCGGGGAGGGTCTGCTGCTGCTGGGGCTGCTGTTGCTGCTGCTGCTGCAGCACCTGTTGCTGGTGGTGCGGCTGTGGTTGTGGGTGCTGCGGCGGTTGCTGTGGCTGCTAAGGGGGGTGTTGTTGCTGCAGCACCTGTAACTGCTGCTGTGGCTGTGGTTGGGGGTGCTGCCGCTGTTGCTGCCGCTGCTGCGGCTGCTGCTGCTGCTGCTGCAGCTGCTGGGTTCTGTTGCTGCTGCTGCTGCTGCTGCGGCTGTTGTTGCTGCTGCTGCTGCTGCCCTGCTGCTGTGGTTGCTGCTGTCGCTGCTGTTGCGGCTGCAGTTGCAGCAGCTGCGGCTGCTGCTGGAGGTGCTGCTGCTGCGGCTGCTGCTGCTGCCGCTGCTGCTGTGGCTGTTGTTGCTGCTGCTGTCGTTGCTGCCGCTGCTGCTGCTCCTGCAGGTGCAGCTGCAGCGGCTGCTGCTGCTGCTGCTGCTGCTGCTGCTGCGCGGCGGCCGCGGCGCGCGCCCGCGGCGGCGGGCCCGAAAGCGGCCGCGTGGGCCACGGCGGCCGCGGCGCCGGCTGCGTGGCCCGCGGCCGCCGCGGCGGCCGCCTTCGTCACGGCGGCGGCGGCGGCGGCGGCAGCCGCGGCGCCGGCGGCCGCAGGGGTGGCGGCGGCGCCGGCCGCCGTGGCGCCCCTCCATCGCGCCGCCGCATTGGCTCTCTGCCGCCTCCGCCGTGTCGAGGTTGTCGCCAGATGCCGGCCAGCTGGCGGCGGCGGCCTGCCTGCGGCTTCCGCGTGGGGCCCGCGAGCGGCGGCAGCCGGCCAGCCGACTGCAGAAGACGCGGGCACGTCGCGGCGCGGGGCCCAGCCGGCGGCGCATCCCCCAGGCGAGGAAGAGAGCTGCGCGGCGGCCTGAGCCCAAAGGTCGAAGGGCCACCAGCCGGCCTGTCGCCCTCCAGACAGTGGCCGGCGGCCAGAAAGGCCTGCGGCGGGCGCCCCTCGCGCCTGCCAGCCGCCGCTGCCGCTGGCGCCAGCGGCCATGCCGGGAGGGTGCTGAAGGAATGAAGAACGGAGACGTAGAGTGCGGGACTGGGAGAAAGATGGCCTCCTGGCGGCACGCGGCTTGATCCAGAGCGGCTTCTTGAGCCAAAGGGGCTACGGACCTGCTCTATACAGCCGCAGGCGGAAGCGCCGGCGGCGGCAGGTCGCGGTCGGGCTGCGGCCGTAACAAATTAGCTGGGCGCGCGCGGGGGCCGCGGATCAGGCGGCGGTGCAAGCTGCAGCCCAGGGAGTCTGAGGGGAAACAGGCACCCAGGGAGCAGGAATGACGCTGCCAAAATGGCGCGATGCACACCCCCAGTCAAGGGTCGTGTCCGGTCCGACGACCACAAGGCAGTGGGGATCTTGACTCCGTGCAAGAAGAGTGTCAGAGAGCCCAGGGTGTCTGCCGGGCATGAGCGAGACCGTAGGCGAGAGAGCTGACGCAGCCATCCTGCAGGAAGAAGGGGCTCTGACGGTGCCAGCGAACCGTCGCAGCTTCAGAGTGCGCATCAACGCGGCTGTAAAGGCACGACTGAAGTCAGTGACAACAATGCACGTCGACCCTCAAACCAACTGCGGAAAGATGCGTTCGCACGCGAAAGATCAACGACATGATGTAACGCAGTGCGGAAGGTACACCTGTTCCCGACCTCGGCGCGAGACACTAACCGAAGATGACAGGGCGTGCACCAGGAAGCAACTAAGTGACATAACAAAGAGCAGCTCTCCAGGAGACTCTGACGGACCAGAAATGGTGGAAATAGCGCTCTGAGAAAGCTGCGCTGCCGCATGCCCGCTGCAGCGCAAGCAACCGTCCGTAGTCACGAAGAAGCCCAGGAAGTGACCGCTCAACAAGGTTGAGCGTGGGAGCGACGATGGGGTGACGTCAGTGCGCGCGGATCCTTGCGGCGAGCGGTGCACCACTAGCCACCGGTGTGGGCGCGGCCTGGGCCAACCGTTGCCAAACTGTGGCAAGTCACGCACGGGATCGCACCTGCGACCCAGAGTCCGAGCACGGCCGCAGCGGACCGGGTGGGCACTCCAGCCAACGCAGCGGGGCGAACCACAACGCACGGAGACCGCCTGAGCAACGTTGAGACCCACTGACGATAAGCCCAATCCCAGGGTCGCTCCCAGGGAAGGCGGAGACGCGCGGCTGAAGGCCGTAGTATCTTGGAAAACCCAGGGAGCGAGAGCGCGGCTCTGAGGGTGACGAGGCGAAGCCATCTTTGCGTCGGTCACAGAACCGCGGGGCCGGGGCGAGCCTGGCAAGGTGAAACCAGCTGCAGCGGGGCCGGGGGCCACTATGACTACACGCAACACGTACTGGTGTTGCCATGCAGACGGTATTGCTGGTACACACACTTGGGTCCAAAGGCAGGATGTGCACGTGCCAGGGAGGGCGGCGGAAGGCCGCCACACGAGTGTAGTTTCTGAAGGGCAGCTGAAGGCCGCTGTACTTGAGTAGGAACCCAGGGGGCGAAAGCGCGGCTCAGGACAGAGACGAGGCGAGGCACTTGCGTCGGTCACGAAGCCGCACGGCCGGGGACGGGATCCGACCGGGCCAGAAGTGAGAACAACTACAGCGGGGCCGAGGGCCAACTAAGGTCTGCACGCAGCACTCCCCCGCGCTGCCATGCAGATGGTATTGCTGGTAGACACACTTGGGTCCTAAGGCAGGAAGTGCGTGTACCAGGGAGGGCGGCAGCAAGGCCGCCACACGGGTTGAGAGAGCCCAGGGAGGCAGCTGAAGGCTGCGCGAAGTGTGAAAACTCGGACGCTACACCTGTCCCTCTAGGGGATGGGATGGGTGGGAGGGGAGCTCAGTCGCCCCATCGTTGCCTTTTTTCGCCACGATCGTCTGGCCTGCCGCCACCACGCTTGCCTCCTGACTGCCACCGGTCGTCGTGCCAGCCAGCGCTCCAGTCACTCTGCCAATTGTCCCAGGCGTCCCAGGAGCTCGTCGCCCGGTCGTGCCAGCTGCTCTGCTGGTGGTTGCCCTTGCCCGTGCCGTCGGGCCAGGTGTGGCGCAAGTATTCGGCCCGCACCGTTGCCCAATCGATGTGGAAGTTATACTTCCTGTCCATCACGTAGGCATCGTATCCACGGCGCTTCCAGTCATCCAAAAACTTGTTGATGGTCGCGTCCGAGTGCAGCCTCGGGTCTGACTTGGGTTCCCTGGTCCCAGGGATCCGGATGCCTTTTGTGTAGGCCGTCCACAGAGCACAGAATACTCCACCCAACTCCTGGTGATGCGCTTGGCGGGCAACTCTCCGCGGCGCTCCAAGTCCACGGTGCCCAACCAGGCCTTGTACATGGGGCCTCGGTCAGCTGGTTGAGTGCGCGTCGCTCCGTTGCGCCAGAGTAGGCAAGCCTATGGCCAAGTGCCTGTGGGTTACGTAGTGGGGGGCGGAGGTCCTGCGTAGTACCTCTGTCTCGGGCAATTTCTTCATGATCTGGTCCCCTGGTCTCACTGGCGTTCTGCTCGGTGTTGGCTGTACCACCCCAGGCGGCTATCGGGTCGTGGTCGGAGCTGGGTTCCATGCTGTCTGCCGTTGGGCTTTGCTGAGGCGGCTTGTCGCCGGGGCCATCGTCTTCAACTTCCGTGGCCGAGCCCGTACAGGATCCCGGAGGAGGAGACTCTTGGGGGCCTCCAAAGTCGGCTGAGTCCGCTTTTTCAGTGGGAAGGATTTCGTCTTCGCCGTCCTCGTCTTTGGTAGCGAGGTCAGGCACATTCGGGTCACCAAAACGCGTGTCGGCGTCTTTCGTACCCAAGGGGTTGTCTGCACCAACCGCAGTAGAGGTGTTTAGTCTGTCCTCGCTCATTGCCTGCACGTGAGACTCCGCAAGGGAGGTGATGGCCTCCTGGCGGCACGCGGCTTGATCCAGAGCGGCTTCTTGAGCCAAAGGGGCTACGGACCTGGTGGGTATACGCGAAGCGTCAAGAATTTTAACTATCTTTTCCCGCCCTTCCAAAAGGTTCCCGCTGATGTCTTGTCTCAACTGGCCACACTGACTACGTTGGCCCAGGGATTCCCAAGTTACCACCAAAACGGCCCTTGAGGACTCCCATACGGCCCAAGGGACTTTTCAAAGTCCCCACAGAGGCCCCCAATAAGCGTTAGCGTCTTCGATACTTCTGGTACTCTTCGCCCAGAACGTGTGCGGCGTCCAGCGGAGCGATCGCGCGCATCCCTTCCAATCGTCGCTCTCTGCACGTATGCACAAACATACGGAGCACACAATAAAAACATGTCCTTCGCGCGCGAAAAATTAGCACCCAGTATCGGTATCGGTACCAGCAACAAACGTACTGCCTGAATCAATTCGGTCCGTAACGAAATAATTACTAGTCGACACGGCCGCATGTAAATATCGACATTGAACCGTTCACCGCTTAACACGTCCGTGCCTACAATGGATATCTACTGCGCCCGTAAGAGCCCTCCTTGAGCCAGAAACGAAATCGGTACTACCCGCGGAATAACTGCACGCGGAATGGCGTCGGCGTAGGGAAACGCAACCACTCGTTGAACAACTGGATGCGACGCGAACGAATGTGTCCGAACACAGAGGCAACGACCAGAATGCACATCTACCGCTCTCGCAGCATTGATGGGAACATTGCTCCCTCTGCTTCTTCGCTACCACCTTCGTGCTTCTCCTGTTCGCTCCCACTCGCGTGACTTACACAAAGATGGCGCACGCGCGGATGAGTGCCGATACACGTGCTGAGAAATATAGCTCGCCGGCGTCTTGCAGAGCCGTGCGAGCATAAACGGACCGCGAGATCGTCATTTCCGCATGCCTTGTAGGAGCGCCCTCGTACCAAACAGAAAGCTCACGGCTTCTTCGAGCACCGCTACGAGTCGCATTGACCCACGGAGCTACTCTGTGTGCAGTACCTCATTCCTCCTCCTTCTCCTCCTCCTCCTCATCTTCCTGCCTTCATCCTCCTTCTCCTCATCCGCCCTCCCCCTACCCCTCCTCGATGAACGCGGCCCACGGTATGGACAACAAGTCGTGAACAGCTGTGCACTCGCTGGTTCAACGAATGGCATCCGCATCCCGAGGCATTGTAGGAAACAGGGTCGGATCGTAACGTGTGCCGGATCGGAGCGCAGCGCGCGACGTAGAGTCGAGATCGGGTCGAATCGGCCGGGCCCGGATGCATAACAGTGTCCGCGGGAGCACCGGGCCGCATCGGATCGTCAAAAGATCAGAATCGCATCGGATCGGGCTGGCCGACATTGATGCCGACTCGGATCGTTCGGATGGACACGGACCCTGCAAAAACTGGCCGAGACAAGCGCGCGCCTGCCGCGGCGACGCTGCCGCGGGCTGGCCCCGCTCAGCAGGCGAGGTCCGAAGGGCTCTTGATGTCGGCGCCTCCGACGAGGGCAGCCCCGCTCCCGCCGCTCGTCCTCCCGTCAGCCTGCCTGCGGTGATGCTGGGAGGCGGCTCCTGGGAGGTTCTCGTGTGGACGAGTCGGGAGCGGCCAAGAGGGGGTTGTCCAAGAGGGGGGGGTGCAAATCATGACCGGCGGCATGTGCGCGGCCCAGCGGGGGGGCCAAGGACGTAATGAAACAAGGAGAGGCGCCATGAAATCCCGGGAAATATCATGGCCCCCGCGATGATATCCACCCCCCCTAGTCATCACCCCCCTCTTTGCCGCCCCCGAACGAGTCAGGACTAGGGTGAGGGCGTAGGATAAGGAACCACCGCCAATGAATCCAAGGCCTGGCAGCCGGTGGAACTCCAGGCCAGGCTTGGAAGCGGATCCTCCGGGGTCTGAGGCCTCCTGGGCACATTCCTTCACGAGCGTCTCCACCGTGCAAGCCAACTCAAGGGGCCGCTGAATTGGGTTAGGCCGGATTGGGCCAGTTCTCGACCACGGACACATCAGCGCCGATGGGGGAGGAGCGGCAAGGAAGGGGGAGAAAAAAAACGTGCGAGACCAATCAGCATGGAGTCGGGAAATCGGATCGGATCGGAACGTGCGTCGGATCGGGCTGGGCCGCATCGGCCCGGAATCGTGCGTCGGATCGGGCTGGGCCGCATCGGCAAATAATCAAGACCGGATCGGCTCAGCCGCGCCAAGATGCACCACAGCGTTGTGTAAGCATTGAGCCGCATCGGATCGTAAGAAAGCTGGAGTCGCATCGGATCGGATCGACGGAATCGTAACGGATCCTATCAGACGTGGGGGGAGGCGCGGCAGGGCTGGCGGCGGGGCCGAAGCAAGCTGCACGTAGCAGATTTCGTAACTTCTTCCCCAATCCCTCCCTTTCATCCGACCTCACGGCCCGAAACGACTGCTGGCGCGGCGCGAAGTGCGGCCGCGGGCAAGACCGGCTCTGCCGAAGCCCGATGGGGGGACGCGACCCCGTCGTCGTCGTCGTCGTCGTCGTCGTCGTCGTCGCAGTTCAGGGTCGCTGCAGGAAGCTCTGTCGTTCGACGCGAATGTCCCGCGGGCTCCGCTTCCTTCATGGCGACGCGCGGCGGCCCACAAATGGCCGGTGCTCTCCCGGCCGCGCGGCCCAGGCGAGGGCCCCTCCGGGAAGCACCTCCTGCTGACCACGGCTGGTAGCACGTGCGGCACACGGGGAGTCGCAGCCTTTCAGGGCGTCGGTCTCGAGGCCATCGCGGATCGTTTCTCTGAATGGGGCGCAGAAGGCCGAGATTTCGTCAACCACGGGGGCACCTGGATGAATCTCACGACTACAGGGGTGCTTCATGTATTTGTCACTTCTTTTTGAACTTGTGTGCACTACTTCGATACAATGTTCGTATTCGGATGCGGTGTCCTTATGCACTGAAGGCGTAATCGCAGGTGGTGCACTGTTTGGGGGGCCGCCCAACAACGGTCGCCGAGGTCATCCCTCGTGGCACTGCTCGACCACCGCATCCAACTTTACCATGATGGCCACGAACTGGACCGGAAACCGACCGGTCCTCGAACCGAACCGGCCGAACCGGACCGGCCCTCGAACCGAACCGGCAGAACTGGACCGAACCGGCCCGACGAATCGAACCGGCCGAACCTGAGCCCCCCGAGCCCCCAGAGCCCCCCGAGCAAGCAGCTGCAATGCAGCGCTGCCGCTGAACACAGCGGGGCCCGCCCAGGGCGGCCGCCGACGAGCCGCGACCCCTGCTGGGAGAGGCGCGGACCACCTCGGCGGACCAGTGCGCCCAGAGGCCGTAGGCACGCTTCGCCGCTGGACGACTGCCCGCCCCGCGCGGGCAAGGCCGAGTGCTCGACGCGGCCCGCTGCTGTCGCCTAAGCGCCCCGCCTCGCCCAAAATATTATCATCGCTGCCGTCGTCGTCGTCGATTTACGTTCCAGCGGCTCAGTCTCTCCTCGCACACTCATCACGAACAGACGTGTGTGTGTGTGTGTGCAAAGAGCGGGTGGCAGGCAGGCACGGTATAACAACAAGGAAGGCAAGATGGCAAGGAACACTCGGACATGATCAAAAAGTGTATTCTTCTTACCCCTCCGCCTCCTCCTGTTCCTCCTCTCCTGACGCCCCCGGGTCGTGACGAAAAGTCACGACGGGGAGAATTTTCGGCCATGCTCGGCCTCTGGTGGCTCTTTCCCAATTCTGGGACCTTCCAATGACAACCCCCGACGGACTCGTTTGACCCACAGAGGCTCCGCGAGGGGGACCTCGACAAGGCCCCCAAACATCAAACAATTTCCCGTCGTCCTCGCTTCTCTTCCTCTCGTGTTACTCTCACCGTCGTCGCCATCGTCTTCCATTTCGTCCACCCCCTCTTTACCCTCATTCTCAGGATTTCGGCGGAATGGCGTTAGCATATTGGAAATTCGGACACACTTGAAGTGTAGTCTCCCTTCTCCTCCGCCCCCTCCTCTTCCCTTGACGCCTTCGCGTCAGTCACGACGGGACGTTTTTTGGCCATGTTCGGCCTCTGGACTCTGACCCAGCGCTGGGACTTCAAACGAGGACTCAGGATGAGAAGCCAGCCCCAGTCCAGGGGCCCAAGCTTCTAGGAAGCCACGTTTTGAACAACAGAAACACGACGTCGGATCTTTGGATTCTCCTGCGGGGTGGCTCGCTCTTCGCCCACGTCACCCTCTTATGCCCTCCGTGCAATGCGCGACAAAGTACCGACAGTCCAGCGAGTGCCAGCGTGTCGGCCAGGGAAGCGCGCTCGCGCTGCCAGGCCTCCGCTGTCTCTCTCCGGCGCCGTCTGGCACTGGCGCGTCGTCGCGCGGTGCAGGGCTGCGCTCAGCTCGGCGCCCCACCGCGCTGCGAGCGCGCTGGCAGCTGCGTCGGCGTCTGGGCCGGCACCGAGCAACTGGACGCGGTCACGAGCCAGCCAGCGCAGGTGCCGGAGCGCGGCTGGCCCGTGGCGCCCGCACGTCTCCAGGGCGAGCGGCAGCGCCCGCCAGTGCGCGCGGCCCGCGGGTTAGCGACACCGTTCGTCGCTCTCGTCTTCCCGGGCCACTGCCCGGTCGGTTTCTGCCGCTGCAGCGTGGGCGCGCAGCTCGCCCGGCATCCCGTCACGGACGCTGACGTCCGCGAGGGGGCGCGGGCAGCCGGCCCGCTCGGCAGGATCCAACCTGGGACATGCACTTGGCGCGCGATCTGGATTCCGCACTCAGCATGAATGGGCTCCCAGACGCCCTCGACGTCCCAGCTGCGCGCCTTTGTGCTGCCGCCGCAATCGCACCGGAAGGCGTGGTTCGCCTTCTGGCAGAGGGGCTAGCCGCAAGGCAGGTTTGCACGTGCGCCAGTCCGCAGCCGGTTCCCGCAGCGGCTGCCCGGCGGCGCGAAGTCTTGGCCCAGCAGCGTTCGCGCCGTGCGCGACTCGACTCGCGGGTATCAGGATTGATCTCAACGCTGCCCCCCCCGCAGCGACCTTCGCTGCTGGCGTGGTGGACACAACTTTCCTCCTCCTCCTCCCCCTCCCTCCTCCTCCTCCTCCTCCTCCTCCTCCGTCTCCTCCTCCTCCTCCTCCTCCTCCTCCTCTCCTCCTCCTCCTCCTCCTCCTCCTCCTTCTGCTCCTCCTCCTCCTCCTCCTCCTCCATTTCTTTCCTAAGGAAAAACTCCTCCCTGTCGCACCCCGAGGCCAGTCGGAAGGGCGGGCCGGGCGTTTCGCCTGAGACTTCCGTACCATGTATGAGCCTGAAGCTTAGACACTGGTGAACTGTTTCACAAATGGAGGGTGGGTGGTTTTCAAAAGGCGGCTCTCGCCTGGGCGCAGCGCACCTTCGATTTCAAACACATGGAAGGGTTTCAGAGGCTGAAGGCGGGTGCTTTTGAAATATGTGGCTCTCGCCTCAGCGCCGTGTGCACCAGCTGTTGTTTAAATACAAGGATTCACTTATTTTTTGTCCTCGATCCATTGCAAGAGCTTAGTGGATTGACGGCGGTTCCTTTGCAACATGTGGCTCTTGCCTTAGCGCCGCGCGCATTCGTTCCAAGCAATTACAACAGTTTCACGGAATCCCACGGTGAGCGTACAAGAAGTGGTGTTTTGAAACGCTTTCATTCAGGATCGCCAAGGCGCAACAGTCAGATTGACTCGTGGCGTTGACGTCCCGAGAATGGTGTTATGGCACGCTTCAGAATCTTCACACGATTGTCCCCCCAACGGGGCAAGTCCCCCAGAGGAAATTAACCCTTGTAGGGGCCTGAGGGAGCTTAGAGGGAGGGTGTTTTCCAACATCGTTGATGGGTCTTGGGCTTACACTGGTCCTCCTCCTCCTCCTCCTCCTCCTCCTCCTCCTCCTCCTCCTCCTCCTCCTCCCCCCCGCGCGGCACCGCTTCCCCACACGCAGCCGTACTTGGCAGCCTCCTCGCAGGCGAATGTGCCCATGCCGCCCTTCATCCAATACTCCTGCGGGCAACGCTCGTGTGGTGGTGGTGGTGGTGGTGGTGGTGGTGGTGGTGGTGGTGGGGGGCGGATGATGATCAGCGAGGAGTGAGGAGGAGCGAGGAGGATGGGGAGGAGGAGGAGGAGAAGGAGGAGGAGGGGGAGTCAGACGTAGGAATATCGTGATGTCGAGAAACTTGGTGATATTGACGACGACGATTGTGGCGGCTGATGGTGACCATGATGATGTAGATGAAGATGATGATGACGATGATGATACTTTTGCTGATGATAATGCTGATGCTGCTGATAATGCTTATGATTATGCTACTGATGCTGGTGTTGGCGATGATGATGCTGCTGATGATGATGATGCTGATGATTACGATGATGACGATGCTGATGATGATGATGACGGTACTGCTACTGATGATGCTGATGCTGATGATGACGATCATGGGGATGATGCTGATGCCGATACTGCTGCTGCTGATGCTGCTGCTGATGATAAGAACGCTGACGATGACGATACCGATGATACTGGTGCTGCTGCGATGATGATGACGATGCTGATGCTGATGACGATGACGATGATGATGATACGGATGATGATGATGATGATGATGATGATGATGATGACGATGATGATGATCATGATGATGATGATGATGGTAATGATGATGATGCTGATGATGATGATGGTGATGATGATGCTGATGATGATGAGGATGATGATGATTGCGGTGGTGATGATTATGATGGTTATGTTGCTTATGATGCTGAAGATGGTGGTGATGCTGATTATGTTGATGCTGATGCTGCTGATGCTGCTGATGATGATGATGCGGATGCTGCTGATGATGCTGATGACTACAATTGAGATGACGATGTGGATGACGATACGACGTTATGAGGTGGCGCATCATCAAATAAGGTGGATGAGCGATGAGCGAGGATGCGTTTGCCAAGGACGATGATTATTCTAATCGGAGATAATAGTGAGGGTTAATATGAGGAGCGAAGTTCCACTAGCCTTCTGGGCTAAGTGGGTCTAGCGATATCGTTTTGCCTTCTTTCAACAACCTTCCCTTCGTGGAGGCTTCCCCCCCCTCCCTGAGGTTTTTTGGGGGCGGGCCGCGACGTGCCAGGGAGTCCTTTTACGCCCAAGACGCCCTCGGCGAAACAGCTAAAATCATTGAATTTACTAAGAGGTGTTCGGTCAATTTTGGCGATTTTGCTGGTCCCAGGGGGCAAGGTAAATCCGCCCCCCCCCCCCCCCCCCTCCTCCCCCCTTTTGATCGATTGCCTCCAAGATGGCCCCAACAGGCCCCCCAGGGCTCCCAGGAGACCCCCAAGAGGGCTCCAAGAGAGCCCCAGGAGGGCTCCAATACTCCCCAAAAGAGTTCCAAGAGGACCCTGAGATCCCCCCAAAGAGCCCCAAGAGGGCTCCACGAGGCGATTTTGAGGGCTCTGTCCTCGTCTTCGTTGTCCTCCTCCTCCTCCTCCTCGTCTTTGCTCTCATCGTCTTCCTTTTCCTTGTCCTCCTCTTCCTCGTCGTCGTGGTCGTCGTCGTCGTCGTCTTCCTCCTCCTCCTCCTCCTTCTCCGCCCCCACGCGGGCCCCAAGGATGGCCCGAAGAGGCCCTCCAAAACCACCCCCTTGCTCCCAAAGATTTCTCTCTTCACCCTGGTTGCCCGCTTTGTTTCACTACATGTGTCTCTTCGTCCTCTTTCCTGTCAACCCTCATGGGCAAAACTTAAACATGGGCCAATGGGAATACGCGAAACGTGAACACTTACGATTAAGACAGCGGAAATGATGAAGATGAAGAGGAGGAGGAGGAGGACAAGAATTACCCCGCGACGTACCCAACCCTTTCTATACATGTGGCGATTACACTCAGGGCTACTCAATGCTGACGGGCATGCTGAACAACCAGCAGTGCGGACGAAGAACACCCAACAATGAAATCAGAAGAGCGCAACAAGAAGAGCAGCGGCAACGCGTAAGACGTACCTCTCCTGGGCCTCCCAGGAGCCCACGAACATGGCGACAATTGCGCAGATCGCAACCCCCCCAACACACCGCGAGATCTCGAAGTGATCCGTGTTGGACTTACCTCCGCTGGGCCTCCCAAGAATTCACGAAACTGGCGACAATTGCGCAGATCGCAGCCCCCCAAGGCACCGCGAGGTCCCGAGGTGTTCCGCGTTGGACGTACCTCCGCTGGGCCTCCCAGGAGCCCACGAAAAAGGCGACAATTGCACAGATCGCACCCCCCCAAAGCACCGCGAGGTCCCGAGGTGATCCGCGTTGGACGTACCTCCGCTGGGCCTCCCAGGAGCCCACGAAAGTGGCGACAATCGCGCAGATCGCAACCCCCCAGGGCGCCGCGAGGTCCCGAGGTGATCAGCGTTGGACGTGCCTCCGCTGGGCCTCCCAGGAGCCCACGAAAATGGCGACAGTTGCGCAGATCGCAACCCCCCAAGGCACCGCGAGGTCCCGAGGTGATCCGCGTTGGACGTACCTCCGCTGGGCCTCCCAGGAGCCCACGAACGTGGCGACAATCGCGCAGATCGCACCCCCCCAAGGCGCCGCGAGGTCCCGAGGTGATCCGCGTTGGACGTACCTCCGCTGGGCCTCCCAGGAGCCCACGAAAATGGCGACAATTGCGCAGATTGCAGCCCCCCAGAGCGCAGCGAGGTCCCGAGGTGATCCGCGTTGGACTTACCTCCGCTGGGCCTCCCAGGAGCCCACGAAAATGGCGACAATTGCGCAGATCGCAGCCCCCCAGGGCGCCGCGAGGTCCCGAGGTGATCCGCGTTGGACGTACCTCCGCTGGGCCTCCCAGGAGCCACGAAAGTGGCGACAATTGCGCAGATCGCAGCCCCCCAAAGCGCCGCGAGGTCCCGAGGTGATCCGCGTTGGACGTACCTCCGCTGGGCCTCCCAGGAGCCCACGAAACTGGCGACGATCGCGCAGATCGCAGCCCTCCAAGGCGCCGCGAGGTCCCGAAGTGATCCGCGTTGGACGCACCTCCGCTGGGCCTCCCAGGAGCCCACGAAAATGGCGACAGTTGCGCAAATCGCAACCCCCAAAGCACCGCGAGGTCCCGAGGTGATCCGCGTTGAACTTACCTCCGCTGGGCCTCCCAAGAGCCCACGAACGTGGCGACAATTTCGCAGATCGCAGCCCCCCAGGGCGCCGCGAGGTCCCGAGGTGATCCGCGTTGGACGTACCTCCGCTGGGCATCCCAGGAGCCCACGAAAGTGGCGACAATTGCGCAGATCGCAGCCCCCCAGGGCGCCGCGAGGTCCCGAGGTGATCCGCGTTGGACGTACCTCCGCTGGGCATCCCAGGAGCCCACGAAAGTGGCGACAGTGGCGCAGATCGCAGCCCCCCAGGCGCCGCGAGGTCCCGAGGTGATCCGCGTTGGACGTACCTCCGCTGGGCCTCCCAGGAGCCCACGAACATGGCGACAGTTGCGCAGATCGCAGCCCCCCAAGGCGCCGCGAGGTCCCGAGGTGATCCGCGTCGGACGTACCTCCTCTGGGCCTCCCAGGAGCCCACGAAAGTGGCGACAGTTGCGCAGATCGCAGCCCCCAAGGCACCCGAGGTCCCGAAGTGATCCGCGTTGGACGCACCTCCGCTGGGCCTCCCAGGAGCCCACGAAACTGGCGACAATTGCGCAGATCGCAGCCCCCCAGGGCGCCGCGAGGTCCCGAGGTGATCCGCGTTGGACTTACCTCCGCTGGGCCTCCCAGGAGCCCACGAAAGTGGCGACAATTGCGCAGATCGCAGCCCCCCAGGGCGCCGCGAGGTCCCGAGGTGATCCGCGTTGGACGTACCTCCGCTGGGCCTCCCAGGAGCCCACGAAAGTGGCGACAATTGCGCAGATCGCAGCCCCCCAGGGCGCCGCGAGGTCCCGAGGTGATCCGCGTTGGACGTACCTCCGCTGGGCCTCCCAGAGCCCACGAAAGTGGCGACAATTGCGCAGATCGCAGCCCGACGGCACGAGAGAAGAGGAGAGGGGAACACAGGAAACAGGAGAGGAGGAGGGGAGGAGGGGGGAGGAGGAGAAGGACGGGGCGACCACACTGCTCTATTCAAAACGAGTGCCCAACCATATGAGGGTTGGGAAAAAGGAGGAGGAGGAGGAGGAGGAGGAGGAGGAGGAGGAGGAGGAGGAGGAGGAGGAGGAGGAGGAGGAAGGAGAGGGAGAAGGAGGAGGACGAATGAGGATATTCAGGATGATGTAGATGAGGGGGAGGAGCAGCACGAAGGAGGTCAGGAGCAGGGTGATGAAGAGGATGAGGGGGAGGCCGAGTGTGCAATTTATCCTGATGATGATGGCGGCGATGATCTCGACCGAGGGGGGACGCAGCCGCGCCCAGTCGCTGTCAGCCTCGGAGCGCCGCAAAGCCGCACGCAAGAGTTGAGCAGCGCGCGCGCTCCCAGGCAGCCCCGCATGGGGGCCCGCTCCACTTATCACTGCACCGACCTTGCAGACGTGCTGCAGCGGAATTTTGCGTGGATTTCTGTTAGTGCAAAACCCTGAAACAGCGAGTGAGCAACAACGCCTGGGGGTTCCAGCGCCGATCTGACAGATCCGCGCGGACACTCGGAAATTTGTGCTTGTGCCTGTGCCGTTTGTCTTGTTCGATTCGGCGAGGAGCTCCAGGCCGCGCATCCCCGAAGGCAGCCAACTTCGCGCATCGCCCACGGCGATGCGCGGCTATCTTCGCGCCCTCCCGCCGCAGCCCTTGGAGAAAGGGCGCCTCAGCAGAACCCCGGCATCATGCTTTTTGGATGACATGGGCCCCCGAAGGTCTCGACCCATTCCCAGGGATCGGCTTTTCATCCTGAGCCGTTTCTGACGGCCCTGGAGGCCGGCGAAGGCCCCCGAAGGCTGGACGATAGGAACCCAAACTGCCCGTCGTGATTTTTCCATGACCCGAAGGGGGCCTGGGCCTCCGACACAGCACAGGCCTCGAAGCGCGGCTATCTCCGCGCCCCCCGCGGGTGATCTGGGCTCAACCCGCCGGCCCACCGCGGTGGTCGGCTCCTCCCCGCCGACGCAGGGAGCGCCTCGGCGTTGCCAGCCCGCGCTGGGCCGAGCGGCCACGGGCTTGCCGGGCCTGGGGCCAGGACGCGCAGGCCATCGAGGCGGAGCTGGCCGACCGACGGGGTCACCAAGGGACCCAGCGACGCCAACACAGTGGCCGTGGAGGGCCGCCACGGCTCAAGCTTGCGCCGCAGCAGTGGCAGGCGGCCGAGCCAACAACGGGCGCCCGCGCGCGCTCGGCCAAAGAGCGGGCCGCACCTCTCCTTCGCCGCTCCCGACACCGGGGCCTCGCCGGCGGTCGGCAAGGCAGGCGCTGCCTCTGCTGTGGCCGGGCTCCTCGAGGAGGCGCCCTTCAGCCAGAAGGAGAAAGCACTGCGCAAGCATGCACTTTCGGAAGCCCGCGCGGATCTCTCGGATCGGCGCTGGACGGCCCCCTCTCCCTGGCGCGCTCAGGGGGGTCCAACGCAGGCGCAGGGAATCTGCGCGGCGGTCCTAAGGTGTATGCCCACATGCCGTCCTTTGCTCCTCGATTAGTGCAGCCTCAGGCGCGAACCCAGGCTCCCAGACCGCTGCCGAGAGTTCGGCCGCTGTCTGGGGGCAGCGGCGTAAGCCGCCAGCGCGATGGCGGCGCTCTCCTCTGGCCTGGCCACCCTTGCGCGCCTCGCAGCCCGCACTTCGCGCGCCGCCTCTTCGACAAGCCCGCCGCCGTGGAAAGCCGCGCGAGGCGCGGGTGTTACGGCCTCGCGCGGCGCCCTGGCAGCGTCGATCACAGGCACCTTCTGAGCCTGCGCCAAACGCAAGATTTCCAAGCGAGCCCCCTCGGCCCTTCGCCCTTCTGGTGGTGCCGCGCGGGGCCCTGGCTGGTCGCGCGACGGCTCCGCGCGCGCGGCGCCAGCAACGCATCCCGCGACTTCTCTCTGCTCGCCCAGGGGGTGCGAGGACAGGGAAGCTGGAAGAGATGGGGGAGATTCAGAGAGGAGATGAACGAGTCGGGGGCGCGCAAACCTGGATTAGCGATCCATGGATTTGGCGCGCGGTCGCCAAATCCATGGATCGGGGGAGGTGCCCTCCCCAAAATGAGGCCGGTGCCGCCTCGTTCGGCGGCGGAAACCCGCGATTTCCCATGGAAACGCGGGACCCGTCGCTACTCCGCGCCCCCTTGATCCATGTTTGCGATCGCCTGAATGAGGGGGGCGTGATAGGAATGGGGGAGTAGGGGAGAGGGAGCGGGAGTAAAAAGCTTGGGATTCTCAGGGGACGCGCCGAGTCAGGTTGGAAAAGGAAAACAACGCTGCGATAAGAAGCATCACACCCCCCTGGTGCTCCTTTGCCGTTGACTCAGCTTCCTGGCCCTCATGCTTCTCCGGCCCGCGCCCAAAACACGAGTTCCAGGACCCGAGCGGGCCGACATCTAGAATCACCAGCTGGTTTCTTCCTGAAACCTCGCGTGCTCAAGGATCCATGGAGATTAGGGCGAGAAAGCGAGAAAGAGAGAGAGAGAGAGAGAGAAGGGGGGAGAGAGAGAGAGAGAGAGAAAGAAATAAAGAAAGAGAGAGAGAGAGAGATTGAGAGAAATAGAGAGACGCCGAAGCCCAAGCCCGTTCCTGCTTACTCCACCGTAGACTGCCCCTCCTCTCCCTTCCTTTCTTCTCGTCGTCCTCGTTCGTCGTCGTCGTCGTTGTCGTCGTTGTCGTTTTCCTCCTCCTCCTGCTCCTCCTCTTCCTCCTCCACGGCGCTATCCTTCATGCTCTTGATCATGTCGCATACCTCCGTGCAACCCGGGACGACCTCGGCAGGTGGTACCTGCGGGCCGTCGAAGAACGGCTTGGGATCGCCACCGCGGGCACGAGACAAGAACGGGCACCGCATCCTCACAACTCTGGGCGCCGATGCGCTGATGAGAACAGGAGGGGCAAGGGTCAACAAAGCAAGACGAAGTCAAGACTGGGACAACATTGGAACAGGACAAATCGGGATCTCTGAGATCCGGCGGTTCTGATGGATGTATCGGACACGGCGGCCGTTCCAGAGCGTTCCAAAACGCTCTGAAAGCGTTACGGAATGCCCTGGGACGATTCATCATGGTCTGAGCCCCGCCTGACAGAGGCAACGTCACAATACGAATAATGCCATAATTAACAATATTACTAGCAATGCTACTACTACTACTACTACTACTACTACTACTACTACTACTACTACTACTACTACTACTACTACTACTACTACTACTACTACTACTACTACTACTACTACTACTACTACTACTACTACTACTACTACTACTACTACTACTACTACTACTACTACTACTACTACTACTACTACTACTACTACTACTACTACTACTACTACTACTACTACTACTACTACTACTACTACTACTACTACTACTACTACTACTACTACTACTACTACTACTACTACTACTACTACTACTACTACTACTACTACTACTACTACTACTACTACTACTACTACTACTACTACTACTACTACTACTACTACTACTACTACTACTACTACTACTACTACTACTACTACTACTACTACTACTACTACTACTACTACTACACTACTACTACTACTACTACTACTACTACTACTACTACTACTACTAATGCTAATGCTACTGCTCACACTACTACTTGTACTACTACTAATACTACTGCTATTTAATGTTATTGTTATTTTTATTACTACTATTAATATTGCTATTGCTATGGTGATGCTTATGCTGTCTATCTTTAATCGAATAACTACTGTTATCATTGCTGTTACTGTTAAACTAGTTTTTATTAGTGTTGCTATTGTTAACAATAGTAACAATAATAACAATGCTATGCATATTATTACTATCACTCACAATAATGATCATACACTGGTGCGCTGATGAGAACAGTGGCGGCGAGGGGCAACAAAGCAGCACGTCAAGAACACCTGACTCCTGATTTCCTCACAACAGGGCAGTCCCGCCAAGGAAGCCGTACTCCCTGCATACCTCGGACTATCCCATGTGCCTGCTGTCTCCACGGCCGCGCTCTGGTGCGCTTCCCGACGGCGGGGGGGAAGGCTTCTTGACCGTTGAGCTGCTGGCCTTAGCGCCTGCGTGCAAAACTTCCCACATCGAACGTGACCCGCTGGGCAAGCGGGCTCGTGCGTGGGTGTGCGCTGCCGCCGCGACAGAAATATCGGTCTTCCTCTGGCTGGAACCCGTCTCGCGTCAAGTCAGCCTGGAAACCGATGCTTGCGCACCTCGGCTGACGTCCTAGCCTGGGGGATCCACGACGGCGTCCCCTCGCGTTCGCCCGTTGCGTAAACTTATTTTTTGTTCTGTGAGGTCAAGGCAGACGGTCACCTCATCGCCTGAGCTCTGCCGGACGATGCGGTGTCTTTATGCTCTCCTTCATAGCTCGGCGGCATGTGCGCTCCACCTCTTGCACCAGATGGTTGAATCGCAGTTAGCTGGTATTACTTGCGCGCAGCGCGCCATCGTGTGCCTTATCCAACTCTTCGCATTCCTTCGAACCCACTTTAGTAACCGCTCGCATCCCAATGGGGGATTCGCATTATGGTGTCTTTGCGCAACCTGCGTGAAAACATGCACCTTTAAGGCCGCTAACCGTGTCAGCATAATGCTTTCGAAGACGGGTCGTTCTGCCGTTCGCGCCAAGGTGCCGAGCTGTGCAAAATAATGCCTGTGCAACCGCAGAACTCTCGAATTCGACAGCGCCCCTACCCACTGTGCTTCTCGGGCTCGCGATGAGAGACCTGTCTAAAGGGCCGCCGCGGACATCTTCGGAGGCGCCTGCGACGGCGTCGCCTCTGATAACAGCGCGCTTGCGCACAATTTGCGCTCGGTGCTCGCGGCACGCACTCGCCGTGCGCCAGTTCAGCCGAAGCGAGCGCACGACATGAGCAAAAAAAAGAGCGCCTGTTCGTGCAAAGGCAGTCGAGCTGGCAGCCCAAAATGTGTTCCAACAGGCAGGTCCACGGCGTCCTGGGAGCGGGGTGGGCACGCCTTCCACGGCATCGCAGCGACCGCAGATTTCCGTGAAACAATCCTGCGGAGACGCCGGGGGACTCGAAACACAAAGTCCGGAACCGCAAACAGCTCCCGGATAGCTCCTTAGAGCCAAGAGAGGGTCGTTCGATGAGAAGCCGGAGCCGGAGGGCCGCCCCGGGGGTCCTTCCGGCGGCGGCCCACACACCTCGGCGCGGCTCGCTTGAGCTGGAGATCTGTCCCGAGAGACCCTTTCTGAGCGTTTCCCGGTCGGGGTGGGGGTCCCGGATCAGATTGCCGCCCCTCAGTGGTCCTGGCGGGTCCTGGGGGCTGGTCCCACATGTGGACGGGGACAGGGAGGGGTGAATTCCCTCTGTGGGGGGGATTTGTGGTCTTGGCCCCGGCCCCGATCCTAGCCCTGGCTGTGGCCGTGGCCCCGTGGCCCCGTGGCCCCGTGCCCGGAAGCTCTCCAGGAGGTCCTTCGGAAGCTCTCTCCGGGTCTCTCCAAAGCTCTTCGCCAGGCCTTTCCACGCCCTTCGGGTGCCCTGCTCGCCGGGTCTTGCGACTCCACAAGCCTGGAGCCTCCGAGCGTCCCAGCCCCTCCCCCGGAACCCGCTAGAACGCACAACTCCTCCTCCTCCTCCTCCTCCTCTTCCTCCTCCTCCTCCTCCTCCTCCAGAAGGGAGGGGGACAGGGAGAAGAGAGGGGAAGACGAGGAGGCAGGGCGGGGGTGAGGAGGGAGGGGGGAGAACATGGAGGGAGGATGCCTCGCGCAAAAGGGGGAGGATCTGCTGAGGAGAGCTTGCAAGCGCGAGCGCACAGGGCCGCCCAGCTTCAGCTTCGTGGCACCCATCTCGCTGCAGCTCTCCTGCGAGTGGGTGGGCCACGACAGGAGAGGGGAGCAATGGCGGAGGACGAAACGGTCGAGGGGCGAGGGAAATGGAAGGGAAAGGGGATGTAAAGCAGCGGATCGGCTCGGATCGCCAGCGTTCGCCAGCCCGCGGCAGGGAGGAGGCGGAGGCGGGGGCGGGCGTGGGGAGGAGGGAAGCGGGAGGATGGGGGGTGAGGAGGGGGGGATGGAGGAGGGAGGAAGAGGAGGCTGAACGGGGAGGGGGCAACCAAAAAAAGGGGGGGAAGACCTGTACTGTTTTTGCCGTGTGCAGCTGCCGTGCCGAGCCTCGCGGGCACGCGAGGTCCTCGCCGAGCGCGGTGCCTTTGCCTTCCCGCAAATGAAGCATCTCTTGTTCTCAGCAAGACTGAGGAACGGCTTGCCCGACTTTGGATGCAGACAGGTCTTGCAATGCCATTCCTAGGGGAACGGTGCCATCGCCGACGGCAAGAGACGACGAGGGGCGCGCCAAGCCGGCCAGCCACTGAGGGACCACGCTTGGGGTAGCTGAAGCCCCCGACGCTGGCGGACCCCAGAAAAGAGCGAAAGACTACTGCGGGCCAGCGGTATCCGTGCCCTGCCTCTGCCACGGGCAAAAAACGTCTTGGGCAAAAACGGCTACAGAAAGCCAGGAGGAAAAAGAGGAGGAGAAGGAGGAGGAGGAGGAGGAGGCGGAGAAAGGAGGAAGAAACATAATAAATGTCGGGAATCAAACATTTGTACCCGTCTCTCGCCTCACCTTACCCGCCTTGTCCGTTCCGCAACCGGCTGGGGTCAAGCCCATCCGAGGAAAAACGTATATTATCTCTTGCATGGTAGCGGAACTGTGGTTCAAATCATCGTAGGATTCAGATCCACGATGAACCTGGGGAACCGTTCTCGGAATAGTCCCGGGATAAAGAAATGGCCCATAAGGGTTATGAGCACGAGACTTTTTTCGGAACGAGCGTCAAAGATTTGTCAGGCAGAAATTCTGATTGGCTAGACTGGCCGTTTCAATTTGAAAACTTTGCAGATGCTGTGAATGGTGAAATGTGTGTGTGGGGGACATGGAGCTTGCAAGGCCGAGGCATGATCACATACAACTTTCAGAAATGGCCGCTCCTGTGAAACAACATGCAACAAATCTTGCTGACGTGTAAGTCGACCTTGTCAATGAAGAAATGGCTAAGGTGTTCCGCGAACTTGAATAGGGAACCGCAATCGAACTGTGGCGAAACACATGCGCCCGATATGACCCAACTTGCAGACATACACTTGGAGGAATTATGACGGCAACCTTGAATTACGATTCCTCCACCGATCAAATGGACAGTTCGCTAAAGAGGCTGGCAGAGCTCGACGTTCTTGTGCAGCAGCACAATGATCTTGCAAGCCCAGAAGAGTGTTCCGATGACGTAGAGATCGCAGCAATTATCTAGACAATTCCAAATCAAGGAGACGATACTTTGGGTTGAACACAAACACACACACACACTTGACCAAGCAGAAGATTTTGGAGTTCGTCCATGGATCGTGAGACTGGACAAACCCTTTTCTGCCACATCAGAAATCGCTTCCTGATTTGGCAAAAAGGTTTCCCCAGAGTGGATGCAGGAGGACAAACAAGAAAGACAAGAGGAACAGTAACATATCAACTTTAGAAACAGGGAAGAGAAAAATTATACAAGTAGGCCAGACTAGGAAAAAGACTGGGCGAACCCCAACAAACATAATCACATTCCTCCTGGGGACGGCCCAATCAATGGCCTCAATGGTTTCAAAACGGCTGGCAAGGATCCGATACCTCTTCTGGAAAGGCTGTCAGCCGCAAATGTTAGCCACAAAAGTGGTGCGACATTTGCAATCGTGGAACCATTGGGCTTCCGAATGTACGTTTCACGGCACAGGTAAGGTAAACCAGAAAAGTATCAGGTCAGCAGAGGTTGCGCCCCAGTCCCATTCGAATGACCACAAGGTTTTGGAGAACACACCTTGGAATGATGGGCCGCAATTCCAACTACAATAATTTGCACCAATATGTTTCGCGTGTGAGAGCGATGAGAGAGATCAATCTGGTCGGATTTTTATTGAAATCGATCCGTGTGCTTGCATGCGTGGATGTTGGAGCGCAAATCGAAGACTGCTCTTCCAGGGGATCCGTTGGGCAAACGCGTACTCAAATCCCAATGGTTTCGTTTGCCTTCTGACGGTGACCCCAGCGCGGAAGAGGGAAATCAAGGCGGAACCAACAGTACAGAATACGAGCCCGTGCGTAAGTGCGTGCGCGCGAGCGTTGCGAGCGCGCTGAAAATTTGCGCGCGCGCAGTCGCGCCGCGCAACAAACGCAGACAACACGCAAACCAGAACAACTCATCGGTTGAACCCACGTCGACATCAACACATTGGAAAATCATGCGCTTTCAAATGTCGTCCGTTGATCCGTTGGTAATTGTCGCTGCAAGCGAGCCATTTTAACCGCGTGTCCCCAGGAGCGTGTCCAAGCAATCTCCAATGCTTGATTTCAGCTTCGCGGCCGCCTGGTAATCGCAAATAAACTGGGGCCTTACATTCATCGGGACATCGAAACGCAACGAATGAGTTTCTTCTAGTGCTCTTGGACATTGGCACGTTTGACCACGCGGGTGGACCTGCTTTCGCCCCGTACACTCAGATGACTCCTGCGTCCAGGATCGACGGAATCACAGCGAGCTCATAGGAATGGAGAGGATGGAAAACAAAGACGACCCATCGCAGCTGATCGGACCAAATGGTAAAGCGTTGCAGCTCGTGATTCGATTCGGAGAGTTTCGGAATGCATCGATTGCGAGGTTTACAATGAACCGCCTAACTAAACAACAAAACATGTCATTCACGTTTGGGAATGCCCGGGTTGCGGTCACCCCCCCAAACATTTCGGGTGAATCAGAGTGAAAGAACTCGGGTTCTTGTATCGTGCCAAGGCTAGGTCCGTCGATCCAGGTCGAGTCTCCCTGAGCATGAAACATGCGATCTCGTCCGTTGCGTTTCAGGAACCCTTAGAAGATCCCCCCCCCGCAAATCTGTTAGCAACGCTTCCGCGAGGAATGCCGCCCGACAAGAAAAACATATAGTTCTTGACAAACGGAAGAAGGGAAACATTCGTAGTGCACCCCTAGACTAATGTAATGCGCATTCGGGTTGGTGGACTCCAAGGGGTATTGACGGAGGAAACGGTCGCTGAAACATGTACCATTCGCATCGCGTGGGTGTAATGGAACATCGCCCCGGCAACTGGGTGGAGGGCCCTCGAAGATCCTCGGGGAAGCTCGGGTGCCCGCAATGCTTTTCCCACAACGTCCACGACAAAATCTGAGATGCGCGGCGAAACCGAGAAGCAAGCCGCGGAATCCGCGACAATTGCCCGTAGAAGCTGAAGAAGCCAATGCCCCTGTAGCCCCGAAGGCACCTAAGGGGCCCAGTATGTAAGCAATACAGAGACTTGCGCAATCTTACGCGCGTGCAATTTCAATGTTGGTGCGAATTCTGCGCCAAAAGCCGCTCGAATTTGTGTCCGTGCAAGCGCGGGAAAGACTGTCCGTACCTGGTAATTCAAATAGATTCCTGCTTTGTCAAGACTGCTGAACATGCCGGAGTCATGACCTGTGTCTCCATCGTAATTTGTGCGCCAGGTTATGGAGCGTGGACGCGAGTGAATAGTAAAGTGTCTTCGTGCACTCGCGCGAAAAATTCAAACGTCAAGCACTGGTAACGAGCACATTTTTCAAGCGCGACTCTTGTGCAGACAGACGACGGGACTTCAATCGATGATGTTGCGCACGTGGTTGCATGGAAACAAATGGACATAACGCGCAAATGCGGCGCGCGCCAGCAGGCCGCGCGACAGCCAACACTAGAGAGTAGAAGCACCGTTGCGCACGCATGAACATGCGCTCGAGTGAGTCTTGGTGCAGCGTAGTACTTGCTAGCATCAAATATCTTCGCACCATGGCTGGTTCGTCATTGGGGATGGTTGAGGTTCCAGAAACACGCATACCAAGGTGTGATTGTCGACTTGAGCGAATGTGTGCCTGGCCGGAACGCAGGGCCAATTGCAACACATTTTGTGAGTGGCGCGCGGATGAGTCAAACCACTGGCAGAAATGAACACCTGATCGCTAGCGCCAACGTCATCTCCCCCGCGCGCGCCATCCGCAGACGGGAAGAGAACGCGCGATTCGGTTTGGGAGTGATCAAGCAAGTTTATGGGGTGCCCTGGGGTTCGCAGTGCCGCCCAGGCAGTGTCTCTAGGGGGGTCTCCCGTGCCGCCTCATGCACCTGGGCCTGTGTCTAGGGATCTCGGCTTCGCAGCCCGTGAACAGAATTTGCGCTTGTTTTGCGTGGCTGGGGAAAAACCTCCAACTGCAAGGCGCGCCGCGAGGGTGCGCGCGGCAACGCGTTCTCAAGCGTGATGCGTGCGGGGAAGGCGACGCTGGGGGCGCGCCAAGGGCTGCCCGGGAACCGCCCGAGAGTCGGCGTCGGCCGAGGGGGCGTCCGACAAACGTGTCAACTTTGGGGCTAACGGTTCGTCTGCGGCGAGATGGCCCTTCGAGCAACTGCTGCCTTTCCTTGCTTCAATCTACGGAGAAGAAATCCCAAGCAACGGCCATCCCCCATGCATCCCATGGGACGGACAGAGGGCTGCGGCTGCCAGGGTAGTCTCACACTTGGTGGAGAGCAACCCAAAGTACCAGGAGGACTGGGAGCGCTACGCAAGCAACCTCGATAATCAGAAAGGGCAGGGCCCCTACCGACAGGCGTTGCATGTCCTCACGCTGTTCCTTACAAGGCTGGAGAACTACCTAACCAGAGGAACGATGAAACTCCTCGCCGCCCAGCCCCAGGATGCGACGACCAGAGGCACGGCAGAAGATGAGTCTCCTGCTGCCAGCTGGCTCAACAGGCCCCAGGGGAAGGCATCACCCCCAACCGACCAACACGTGGGGGATCACGACGCCCCCCCGACCCGCGCAAACGATACACCCCAACAACCCGACGCACCTGGCCAGCCCGGTGGGGCCCCAGAAGAGGTGCTGTCCTCATCAGAGCACTGGAATGGCGACGGCGACGTGGAAGGGATAGACTGGGATGACGATGCCGACAAGAAATCCGAGCCGGACGTCCAGGCACGCGGCAGCCCGCCGGATACCTCGGCTGACTCCGGGTCGCAGGCCAGCCCTACACATCAGGAGGGCGATGCCGGCGGTCCAGCACCCACCGACCGGAAGTCGGCCCAAAGTCCCCCCCCACTCTGGACCCAGCCCCCCCCGCAGGGCCGACTCGAAAGCCTGGTCCCCATTTGCGCAGGCTGCCGACCGAGGAGCATCCAGCGACGCATGGAAGAGAGACGAAGCCCGCCCCAGAGAGGATCGGACCTGGAGCTTTCACGCAGTCAGTGACGGCAGGACACTTAGGCAATCGGGGAGCGAAGCTGGCCGCCGACCACCCACAGTCGACGAAAGCAGCACCAGAGAACGCTCAGCCACACCGCCTCGCAACGCTCCCAGACCGTGGCACAACGCCCAGAGCTGGCGGCGCGACGCACGGACTGCAGCAATCCCACCAGCGCGCCCTGATGACCCCACGGGAGGCTTCCCCATGTACTTGAGACCCATTGACGATGCAGACGTCACAAGGGACGAGCCGGCACCAGATAAGATCACGCGAGTGCAGAAGACGCTGGGAGGCGCGTTTAATGGGGCCTGGAGCGCCTGGGTCAGAAAGGCAGCCTATAGTCAAGGGAGCGCCTGGGTCAACATCAAGTCCGACCCCGGGCGAAACACGGTGCAGCAATGCGACGAATTCCTCCAGGCATGGAGCAAAATGGGGTACGACGCCTACAGGATGGACAGAGAATACCAACTCCACGTCGACTGGCCAAGCGTCATGGAAAAGCAGCGCAGACTCACGCAGCGCGACGCCAGACTACGCACTGCCGACGCGCCCATCGGAAGCGGAGGCTCACCCCCATGGGCCGGCGAAGGCAAGGAGGCTGCAAAGACCCCCTCATGGTCCACTGAAGACAGGGCTGCCGCACGGACAGGAGCAACTGGATCTGCAGCACCCTGGCGTACATGGCAGTCCTGGGACGAGTGGGGCCATCAGCAGGACACATGGACCGACGCTGATTGGAAGTCCAAGGGGAAACGGTCTCCCCCCAGAGGTGAAACCCACTACGCAGACAAGCGCCAGCGGGGATGGGACTTCCGCCCCAAGTGATCGCGGTATAGCCTGGCCGCTTCGTGCCCACCCCCTCCCCGCGCTCGGGGGATGTCGGCCCGCCTTGACTGGGACCTTTCACTGTGCTTGCTACCCGCTTCCCCCCCACCCGCCTCGTCCGTCTCCCTTCCCTGCTTCCCGTGGAGGATGGTCCGCGCAGCCTGTCTGTGGCTCAAACCATTTCTGGTCTACTAGAACATGTCCATTCTCAGAGTTGCTACTCGGCCCGTCATGGAACGCAACGCGTGCTTCCTGGACAATAACGATCTTGGGCAGCTGGGTACAACCTCCCCCTCCCTCTACAAGGTGGTTTCTGTCGCGCTGACCCTGTGGGCCATCTGGGACCCCGCAGCGCTAGGCGGAGCCCGCTGGGTTGGCAGCCCCATGGTCCTCAACCGGCCCTTTGCCTCGCACAGCGACGCAGGGATTGGGGGCTGATGACAATGTGAGGTGTCAGTCCCCCACGGTCAAGCTTCCCTCGTGGTTGCTCCTGACCTTGATGTGGGCAGGCTTCACCGCAGCGCCAGGCCTTGGCCTTAATATCTCCGTGCTACCTCTTATGGGGCAGAGTTGCACCAATACCCATGCGCTGCGTACTAGACAGCCCACGCTGGTCTCGTGGTTCCATCCTGGACAGTGGGGCGGTGGCTGAAATAATCCACCCCCCCGTGTCCCCCCTGAGACCTGGCTACCCACGGGACAGGGGGCCGTTACTGTCCCCCCCTCCGGGGCACCCACTTTGGATGACTGGGAATGTTGGCCAGAGGCCCACCTCCAGCGCTCCACCTTACGTTGCCGCTCATCAGCTTGTGCGGCTCTTGCCGCGCCCCCGTCCAAGTGTGCCCCGCCTGGGTGCGCTGCAGTGCGACGGGCCATCCCAAGTTTGGAGGCCTTGGTCACGTCCGTCGTGCCACGTCACGTGGTAACACCTCGCGTGCATTCTCCAGGCTGTGCTGCTCTCTTGGCAAGTGACAGCGCAGTCCCCCATCAGAGGTCTGGCGCGTTGTTCCCCCGCGGTCACTGCAGACCCTCCGCAGGGAGCGGTGGAGGGATCACAGAGGCGACTCCGACCACACAGCATCGACATTGGTGTTGCCTCCTCCTTCTCCTCCTTCAATTCACCGGATTGTGCGGCTCTCGGCTGCGTCTCCCCTCCTCCTCCTCCTCCTCCTCCTCCTCCTCCTCCTCCTCCTCCTCCTCCTCCTCCTCCTCCTCTTGTGCTGATGCGGCGCGCAGTGCCGCTCGAATTCCCCCCATGCCAACCAGATCCACCGGAGCACTCGGACATCCATGGGCACCTGGAGGCTCACTGGCAGGTCTCCGAGGTGCATACGGGCAGCAACGGCTGCCAAATAATGATCTGGACAGCCAGGGTCAGAGGCAATCTGTCCCCGGGCACGGGCTCCTCCAGCCCCTCGAGCGGGCGCGGATCGCCCGCGTGGACTAGGGTTCGCGGCGCTCCAGGCGCTGGGCTTCGGCAAGGTGCAGACCTGCGCGCCTCCCCGCTCGGGCGCCACCCGAGGCCGGACCTGCGGTGAGCGCTGTCCTGGCAAGTGGTTCATCCTTTGGCAGGTCACCGCTGTTCCCCCAGCAGGTCCGCCCCTGTTACCTCGGTTGGCGCTCGCAACTTTGCGCCCCCGTCCCCCGTGACGGATAGGTTGCCCGCATGGGCGACTCGCTTCCCACGGCGGGCGCCGCCTTCGAGTTCTTGCTACTGCACAAGTGGTATATCCTTTGGCAGTTCATCTCGGCCCTCCCGCAGGGTGGGCCGGGGTACTCGACCAGTGCTTGCAGCTGTATCCCCCCGACTTTCAGAGTCAGGCAAGTTGCAGGTCGTGGGCTCAGAAGACAGGGCCGCCGTTTCCTTGCATAGGTCGGTCGCTCATGCCCAAGTACTTCCTATGAGTCCATGTGAGTGAGGCTTCCTTCTGTTCCCCCCCTCTCCTGTCCTCGCGTGCCCTCGCGCCCGCCGTGCCTTTCCCGTTCCTTCGCCTCCTCGTCGTGTTGGGCGGCGCGGCCGCCCCGGCCCCTCCGTGCCGCCGCAGCGCGGCGTGATCCACGCCCTTGCGCGCTGTTCGGTACGGTCAGAGCTGGCGCCACTTGTGCGACTTCTCTTCCGTCAATTTCCTTTTTGATGCCTGCGCCCCCGATTCCGGGTCGCATGCGTCTTAATGAGGGGCATTTTGTCCCTGGCACGTGCACCCGCTGCTGCGGGTCTATGCGCCGTTGCCGCTAATTATCTCGCCCTGTGCCCCGGCCGAGACCGTCCCGCTCTTTGGAGCTGTCCTTGGAGCCGCCAATCAAACAGTGACTGGGGTAAAACCTCCAACTGCAAGGCGCGCCGCGAGGGTGCGCGCGGCAACGCGTGCTCAAGCGTGATGCGTGCGGGGAAGGCGACGCTGGGGGCGCGCCGAGGGCTGCCCAGGAACCGCCCGCGAGTCGGCGTCGGCCGAAGGGGCGTCCGACAAACGTGTCAACTTTGGGGCTAACGGGTCGTCTGCGGCGGTTGACCCGGGACAGAATAGGAGCCGCCGCAGCGGCGGTCCAGGACAGAGAGGTGGCAACCATAGTGGTGGCGCGCAACGGCAGGCAGAAATCCAAAAGGAACAGATGGGCGCAGAACAGAGAGAACGGGCAAACGCGCAGCAAGGAAAAAACGCTGATGGCAGACACAGAGTACCCAACTGACCCAGGAACTGCCACTATGGCAACACTTCTCCTTGTATTAGTTTTGACTGATGATCAACTACTGCGTGAAAATCAGAGCCTCGCGTGTGCGACTTCTATGGCGTGCGTAAAACATGCTGCGACGTTGCTATGCCAATGCTGATCTAACCGGCTGCTCGCCAAACTCAGAAGTGGAGACAAGCATGGAGTTTGAAACGGGGTACTTGGACCATTTTGGCGCGTGCCAGAGGTGCAGGGGAGGGGGCCACATCGCAGCCCAGAAATACAGGATGGGTGCACAAGAAGCAGAGAGAAACGATGGTCTGGTCACGTCTTGTGGTGAAAGACTTTTTTAAAAAGCACCGATCCGTAATGGCGATGATAAAGAACCGCGCCATCAGAATTGGAGATTTCAACGCTGCGTTCACGCGCGCAGAAATTAAATTAATGACCGAAGACTGTTTGGTAGACACCCGGAATTTTCGACATCCCCAAATCCGCATTATATGAGGAAAATGCAGACCGCTATGAACGGGCCCCAGAACATGCCGCAAAACTTCCAGGATTTCCAAACTGACGCTCTTGTGAAGAGCTGGGGTTTCAAACGGTGTCGGGGTGGCCCCTCCACTTGTTCTGGGGCGAGAAGAAAAAAGCGTGCATCTAAGCGGAAATCTTGACGACCCAATAACTGTGGGCTCAGATGACGCACTCACTGAGATTTTCAATGAGCCCGACGCGTGTTCTGTTCCGACAAGGTGAACGCTTCAATGCCGCATCGGTCGTGAACTATTTACGTGGATGTTGCAAGTTGGGGGCGACCAGCGTCGCTGTGAGCCCAGCGCCAAGATGCATCGATGAAACGTTCGATGTATTCGGGATGATAGGATGCTCGGCTTTTTCGCCTCCTGTAACCCAATACCAATGCAAGGTGCGGTTGGAAGAAAATTGAAAACGTGGTCGGACACGATCAACGCAACTACGGGTACGTGATGGGTGAGATGCAATACCCCCCACAAAGAAGCCAAACACCGAATTCCCGATAAAAGAACTCGCGAGAAAGCAAGCGACCCCTACGAAAGAAGACAACCTTATCATGCGGCTTATGTACGGGACTCAACAAGAATGCCTGCATCTGCCAACTCGCAGAAATCTCACAAACGACATATTTGTGTATGTAGACAATGATTGGGTCGGGTGCAAAACAACCCGGATATATCAAGTGGATAACCCAATCCGTCATTGCTGGGGGGGCTCCGGAGAAACCGATCTATGCGCCATCGCCTCCGGAGCGGCCGAAGGCTTGTTGGCGCAGGCGATGCTCACAGAACTCGGTCTAGGTGTGACAATAAGAGCGCAGATGACATTCGACTCTTGCCAGGATTGCAATGGCTTCCAGCCTGGGGCTTCCAGATCTCAGACATGTTAATATCACATATATGCATGTACAACAGTTGGTACATGCATCCCGTGTTCGGCTGGGAAAAGGTGCCAAACGCCAACAACTGCTCGCACTCAGGAACCGACCTTTTCGACCATGCGCGTCTGGATGAGCAGAAGACAAATATTGGTGTGTTATGAGGGTCCAGTATCATTAGCATCCCAACATCACAAAACACGACGTCATCTCAACACTTACCCATGGCATGTCGGCTCAAATTTTGAATATTGTGTGCCCAGCAATCGAGACGCATGCAGTATCACAAGACGTCGCTTGAATGTTCCACCGAGGTCTTTCGTGCAACCATATCCATGTGTTTCATAACAGGACAGAGAAACCAAACACATAACGAGGACAAACGCACTTGGGCAAAATGCTGACGTACTAGTGGCTGCAAAACCTGACGTCAAAGAGACACAAACTGGACCGCAATCCGGCCGAAACCCTAGCGGAGGCCGCACGGGATCAATACCCTTTTTCGCGCAGCCGGCCATTGCCAGAAGTGCCAGCGGACCGAGCGTGGAAGGTGGCGTCGCCGCCACCACCGCCGCCAATACCCCCTACCAGGGGTAAGCGGGAAGAGAAGAAACCACGCGAGCAAAACGAGCTGCGGGAACGCGTCCGCTCTCGCTCCGTCCGCCGCAATCGCGGTCGCTCGGCCTCCTCACATACGAAAAAGCCTGCAGCACGGTCGGCGTCGCGATCTGAAATGAAGTGTTCGGGGAACGATGTCTTGAACGACGTCGTTTCTGATCTCCCGTGCTTTAACAGCTGTGAACAAGTTGTGAACGTCCTCGGCGCTGTAATGAAACATATCGAAGTTACTGCACTGCGCGAAAGGTGGTTCCACTGTGATCTGTAAGGCTATCATGTGTCCAGCACAGCGCGCGTCCATATCAATATAGCAGGTTTTGCAATTGATCTGCACAGAATGGAAATTATTTCCGATGGGGGTGTGCTGGAAGTCAGGCGCTAGTCCCCGTCTCTCGTCTCACCTCGCCCGCCTTGTCCGTTCCGCAGCCAGCTTGGGTCAAACTCATCCGAAGACAACCGCATCTGCTGTCTTACAGGAGGAGCAAGACGAGGAGGAGGAGGAGGAGAAGGAACATTAGGATGATGAAGAAGAGGAGGTGGAAGAGGAGGAGGGGGAGTAGGAGTAACTAGGATGATGAGGAGGAGGAGGAGGAGGAGGAGGAGGAGGAGGCGGACGGCGAAAGAAAAATAGCAACCGCATTGAGCCGAATGCGGCCCGGCAAGAGGCGACGAACGAACGGTGGGTGGCGTCCTCGGAGAAGAGCAGCGGTGCGTCGCCCAGGTAACTCGCGGGACCTCGGCACGTCTTCCGACCGTCATCACCAGCACCATCACCACCATAATCCTCACCACCATCATCGTCACCATATGCACAATCGCCGCCGCCATCGTCATCATCATCAACATCATCACCATTACCACCGTAATCGCTACCAACATCATCATCACCACAGTAATCATCACCATCATGTTCGTCATCGACATGGTCATCGTCATCATCATCATCACCATTCTCGTCTTCACCTGCATCACCATCAACATCATCATCTCGTCATCTTCATTCTCCGCATCCGCATCCGCATCCATCCCTGTGTTTTCAACGTGGTCATCAACATCATCGTCATCACCATCACCATGGTCATTGTCATCATCATGCTCATCATCAGTCTCGTGATCATGAGGACCATCATAATCGCAATCATCAGCATCACCGTCATCTTCATCATCCTCAATCATTTTCGCGTAAGTTCCTCCGGGCCTGTAGTGCCTGGACAGGTCTCTCCTCTATCACTCGCAGGTGCTGCGGCACGCGGCGGGGTGCAGCAGCTCTCGCCGCAGTGCGCTGCGAGGTCCGTACTGATGCTGCACACCTGTGTGGTCGGCTCTCCGCCTGTGCCCACATAACGTAAACGTGGAGTGTCTTTTGACACCCATCCGATCAAAAAAGGGGGGCAGACCGGAGGAGGACGCGACAATAGAGGGAAGTGGGGAGGACGTCAAGGCGGGAACGCGGGGAGTGGCCGTGAAACAGAGGGGTCGTGGAAATAGGCCCCGACGTTTTTCGCCGCTTTCAGGCTCCAGGGGCCCGGGGACCGTCAAGAGAACTGTTCTGGAGGACGAGCTGGTCGCAGGGAGTGGCCCCAGGGTCCAAGGCCCAGTTCCATCAGGATTCCCCTCCTGCGTGCCAAGAGGGGAGGGGATTTGCCAACTCCTCTGGGGGCCAGCAGGCCGTGTGGGTGAAACTTCTGCTTCCTGCAGCCGTTCCCCACTTCCTTGGCTCCAATACAGCTCCTCTGTCCCAAGATGTCAGATGTCATGAAATCGTTGCTGCTCGTTCCACTGTTGGAAAATTGCACAACGCGTGACATGCCCCAGCCGAGCAGGGACCCGTTATTCTACCGAAGCTGGGTTCCCTCAGCTCCTGGGTTCCCTGGGGCAAACAAGTTGCGACACGTTCGCGCTCCCCCAGCGAATATCCTGCGCAAGTCACAACAGCTTCGCGCTCCGAGGCCACCACCCCTCGTGAATTACGACGCATCCGCGCTCCCGAGGCCACACGCCCTGCTAAATCACGTCGCGCTCGCGCTCCCAAAGCCACAAACCAGTGTACCTTGCGATGCGTTCGCGCTCCCGAGGCTAGAACCCATTGATGTTACAAAGAACTCGCACGCCCGACGCCGAAGTCCTTCAACAATTACTGCAACGCCGCGCTCCCGAGGCCGCGAACCCACCCCACGGAGGCTGCCCCCAATCCCCCCCCCCCTCCCTCCCCCATCCCTTCCTCTCCACAACACAATAACATGAATTTTCTGTACTTGGAGATGTGTTCGGGGAATGCTTTTCGACCTCCGTCGTTTCCTGAACAGTCGGCTCGGAACAGAGGTCGCGGATCAACACAGCAAGGGCTGCGAGTTCCCGAAGTCTCGAACCCTGACAAATCACGGCAGAAAGCGCGCTCCCGAAACCACCATCCCCCATTCACTACCACCGCTGCGCGGAACGACCCAGCCAGCGACCAACCCAAACCAACTGCCAGCCATCCACTGAGACAGCAGGTCAACCTGCCAAATTGCCAGCCAGCCAACTGGCAAGCTGACAAACGGACCAAACGAGCAGGCGCAGCCATGCACGCAAGTGGTTAGAGGGGGGGCAGCGGCAGAGGGCGAAGCCCTCCAGATCTGGCCGCTCCCGCCTGCGGTGTGGGCCGTGTGAGATTAATGTGTCGATGTGCGTGCGTGCGCGCGTGTGTGTGTGTGTGTGTGTGTGTGTGTGTGTGTGTTTGTGTGCTTGTGTGTGTGTGTGTGTGTTTGTGTGTGTGTGTGTTTGTGTGTGTATGTAAGTATGTGTGCATGTAAGTATGTGTTTGTGTGTTCGTTTGTGTGTCTCTGTGTGTGTGTGCTTGTTTGTTTGTGTGTTTGTTTGTTTGTTTGTTTGTTTGCGTGTGTCTGTGTGTCTGTGCGTGTGTGTGCGTGTGTGTGTGTGTGTGCTTGTGTGTGTGACTGACCAGCATCGAACGCGCCCAACCAAAACCTCCAAAAGGGCCCTTCCCTGGGGCGCTACTCTGCCAGCGATCCTTCCGCGCCACCGCGCATATCCGCGGCCCCAAGATGGCCACCAAACCGCTTCAAAACGTGATAGTGGAAGGGAGCCGGAGCTCCGCAACCAACTATGAAAACGGATTGTGAAATAAGAGACACCATTGCCGGAGCTAGTAAGCAATGAACACGGTAGAACACGCGTCTAACACGGGCACATAGGTCGGCCGACCTACGTACCCGAAACGAAACGGCAACGGAAAAAGGGGTGATATTGAACAGGGCGAACGAGGCAGGAACTATCAGTAGGCTACCGTTCGAGTAGGCTAACGTTCGAGTAGGGCGAGGAGGAGGAGGAGGAGGAGGAGGAGGAGGAGGAGGAGGAGGAGGAAGAGGAGGACCAGGAGGGGGGAGCTGCCGCGCGCGCGCTAGGCCAGGGGCCCCTGACCGCGTGCGCCGCGTCCGCGCTGCTCGCCACGAGGAGCCTCGCGCGCGCCCCGGTGGCTGCTGACCTTTCGGCGGCCGAGGTGCCAGGGAGGGAGGGGGGGGTACAAACTGAATGCCACGACGACGGTGGCGGAGGCGATGACCCGAACACAACGGCGACGATCACGACGACGACCCGACGATGACCACGACGACTGCGACGGCGGCGGCAGCGAAGACGACGACGGAGGCGCACGCGCGGCCCGTGGGTGGCGCGCGCCTGCGCAGCCTCCGACTGGAGAAGTGGGCGCTCTTCGCCAGACGCGCGTGATGGAGAAGATCACGACGGGACGCTGGGAGGGGTCTCCGCTTCCGTCTCTTGTCGCGCCCCCTCCCGCTCTGCCCGCCCTTGCCGCTCACCCGGACTGGGCTGGATCGAATCGGGAAATCTGATCAGGTCGGATACGGATCGGATCGCCAACGAATGGGGTCGCCGAGCCTGGCTCCATCTGGCCCCGGCCAATGCCAATGAATCGAACCGTACCGAATCGAGTCGAACCGGTGAATCAACCCGCGCGTCCCCGTTGTGATGAACCTGTGCTCCTGGTCATGATTTCAGCGCTGCTCGCGTGATCATTCGGCAAACACTGGAGGGGGACCACTGACCGATGAAGCCCTCGGCCCTCGACAGCACGCGGCCGCGCCCCTGGAGACGTGGCAAAACGCAACGGCGAGCGAGGGTTTATCCCCCACCGTGCAGCGAGGCGCTGAATGGAGTGTCCTCGGAAGGGAGCACATTTCGGGTCCGACATGCTTCTTTAACGTGCCATGTTTTTTTTTGTGCCCGGACAGAACACCTGGGCGACACAACCCGAAGGGAGGTGCCCAAGGTGCCTGCATGAATTCACATGCAGTCGGACCTCGCAACACGAACGGCGGCACGGACCCGCCCCGGGCGTTATCCGCGCCGCCGTTGCGGTGCCTCGAGATGCCACCCCGAGACACGGCCACCGGCACCACCCCCACCGGCCATGAACTCGTCCCTTGGACCGTCCTGGAACCCTCTGGCGCGCCTCTTGCGCCGTCTTAGGGGGCCCTAGGAGCTGGCCCAAGAGGCCCACCTCGTCCAAGGCCACAGAGATTCGGCACGGTGTCAGCATGATCGCAGGGTCGGCCTCAGGGGCATCCAAGGCGGCCTAAGAGGCTCCCAAAGGCGCCCCGACACGGCCAAGGTACCCCTGGAGGAGCCCCAGAGGACGGATGTGTCGAGCCCTCCACCCCAAGATGGCCCCCGACTCTCCCCAGAGGCCCGCGAGGAGCCCCCAAAGGCCAAGGTATCCTTATATACTTGATGGCATGTCGTATGTTTTGAGGCCTCTGGCCCGCAACCCAAGCACGGCGGGATGGGCCGAAGGCCACCAGACACCACTGAAGCTCATCCCCCCAATCTCAACTGGAAGCGCAGAAAAACTGGATCGAACGACTTTACCATTCGAATTCCTTGCTACCGCTGTGAACGGGTATTCGCTCTCCTCCGCCATCATGTCCATACCAATGGGGGATCATCCCTCATAATTATGGGTCAGTCGCTCAGCTGAGTGGGAACTCCAATGCGCTTCAAAAGCTGAGCTGCGCGCACACTGCCTGATCCCGCCTGCCCAGACAGTGAAATCAAACTCTCTCTTGCGTGCGACTTTGAAAACGTGTTGTCCGATACCACTTGCGTACTTTTGTTCGACACGCTAGCAGCCGTGGGGCCGTGGGGCCTTTGGGGACGCATCCAGCTGCAACACCCCATCAAGACACCGCTGACCGTCTGATCCCCAGGACGTTTTTGAGCCTCGCTCGCGCTGCTCGCTGCTGCTCTCGCGCCCCCGGCGCTGCCCGCAGCTTCCGCTCCGGCGTCGGCGGCGGCGGCGTCTTTCGACCTGCCTGGCCGTCCACGCCTGACGGGCCGCCGCGCGCAGCTCGGGAGTCGCAGCCGTGCGCATCTCCTCCGCTGGGCCGCGCCACACCCCCGAGTCAAGGGCGATCGAATCTCGGTGGGGCGCCTCTGTGGCTCTCGCCGCCTTCCGCCGGCGGACCCGCGCCGCTGCGTCTCTGCCCGCCCGCCGCCGCTCTCTGCCAAGGATTGAGTCGGGCGTGTCTCCTCACATGGGGATTTTCGACGAAAAATAAAACGTAGTCCACAGATACCCTAAAATGGTCAACAAAATACTAACAACAATCGCCCCCTGACTGTTTTTGAAGATTCGTCCTGTAGAGGGGCAGGCCCGACTTAAGCCAAGGAGGAGCGCGCAACGACGGGATCCCTCGCAGGCGAGGCCCTGCCTGGGTCGCCCCTCCTGGGCTGCGGCGTGCTGCCCTCGCAGGGGGGCCGCGGCGCGAGCGGCAGGGAACGGGGCGGAGCAGGAGGGCGCACGCGGGACCGAACGCGCCCGTGGCAGGCGGCAGTGACATCCCCATCCGTCTCTCGTCCGCCGCCTCCTCTCCCCTGTCCTTCTGTCCTCGTCCTGCTCCTCCTCCCTCCTCCTCCACCTCGTCCACTACTTCCTGCTCCTCTTCCTCTTCTTCCTCCTCCTCCTCGTCCTCATCCCCCTCCCCCTCCTCCACCTCCATCTCCACCTCCTCCTCCTCGTCCTCCTTCTCCATCCTCCTCCCCGTCCTCTTCCCTCTGATCTGACTCCTTCTCCTCTGACCGCTCAGAAAAACACGGGGGGATGGAACTGATAACTTTGTACGTCGCAGCTCGTCCGTCGCCCACGGCGGGGGCGATTCCCTAGCAACTTGGCACCTCGCACCAGCAGTGCAGGCCCAGAGCCCAGCCATCCCAGGTCTCTCGGAGGCCCCAGCCACCCCAGGGATTACGCCCCGAGGCGCCATTCTTTACGAAAAAGTGCTCAGTGGCTTCAAAATTGTCCAGGATTTCCAGGGAAGCGCCAGTTCAGTAAAGAACTTCCGCCTCCTCTGCTGGAGCGTGGCGCGTGGGGCCCACCGCCTGCGGCAGCCCCCCGCCCCCGACAAAACAGCAAAACCCGATCCGCGCGAGCACGAGGCGGCGCCCGTGCCGGAGCCTCGAAGCAGGGCCGCTACCGGCTGGTGCGGGTGGAGCAGCTCAACAACGTCGTCTGCGTAAATTTCAGGTTTTGGATGTGAGGTTCCAGTCCCCGTATACTCTCGCTCGGCCAGTCATCGCGTGCACCGCCCCTCACTCCAGCGGAGAAATACGGATGCTATCTGGAAACAACGCCACCCACGTTTGGGATGCAAGGTTCCAGTCCCCCCTGCGGTGGCTGGGGTATGGGCAGTCCGCTTCATGGGGTGGGAAGCAAGTGCCCCCCCTTCCTCTCCCTTCCCGAGAGCAGCGGGCTCGTCTCGGGGAACACGCCAGTCTACTATCAGGCCCCGCTTCGTAGGTGCTTCCCCCTGCGTTCGTTAGCAATCTCGCTTCGCTTGCATCCCGACCGATTGCCCCCTCCTCCTTCTCCTCGTCTTCCTTCTCCTTCTTGTCTGATTCCTTCTCCTGCTCCTCGTCCTCTCCCCTCGCTCTGCTGTCTACCACTGCAGGCTCTGACCTCGGTCGTGGGTCTCCCTGGCCCAGCTGCGTGAGAGCGGAGGGGGGCAGGCAGCGGACGCGAAGACGAGTGCCAGCAGGCAAGCGCGGCACGACATGGCGGCGAATCTACTTTTGGGCAGAGCGTTCGGAGCGGGGCAGAAAGCACCCACAACCCCGTGCAAGGGTGACGCGCCCCCCTCCCCCTCCACTCTTTCCCGCCTCCCCCTCGTCCTCTTCCCCTTCGATCTCCTGCCAAGGCCACGAACCCTGGACCGCTCCCGTAAACCGTCCTGGCCTTTCCCTCGAGCTGCGCCCAACCGTGGCCACGAGAATCGCACTGGAGGGCAGAAACAAACCAGCAGGAACGCGTCAACGTCCTCCCTCCTCCACGTCCCCTCCAGCATGGACGCGGTGTGCCTTCTGCCCCCCCCCCCGAAAGGGGCGCGCGGCGATCCCACGGCGCGCTGTGGGGCGTCGAGCAGGGAAAAGGTGGGCAGAGGCCTAAGGGCTGGGCTCTTGCGGGTGGGGCTTCTTCCTCGTGCTCCCTGTCCGGTAGCCGTGCGCTGAACTCACCCCGAACTCCTCGCGTCGTGAACAGAACTCGACGGATCGTGTTTGGCCGTTATCGGCCTCTGGGGGCCCTTACGGGGCCTGAGAACTGTCGACAAAACGCCTCAGGATGACAATCTGGTCCCCAGGAAGATCTGGACCTCTGGGGAGCGACGTTGTGAAAAATCAAGACGGCGGATGTCTGTGCAGGCCCAGTGTATCTGGAAAGTGTAATGAGACGCGAGAGAGGACAGCCAAGCCCGACAGAGGCAGCGCGACCGTTGTGCGAAGGCGATGTCAGGGCAAGATGCGGGCCCGAACAAGTAGACATTACAAGGCGCGTATAGCTCGACCTACTCTACGCCGTTGCCTGCCCTCCTCCTCCTCCTCCTCCTCCTTCAACTCTTCGCTTCTTGCACCTTCACGGCGTCGTCCTTATCATCTTCCTCATCAACTCCGTTGTCGTCGTCGTCGTCGTCGTCGTCGTCGTCCTCCTCCTCCTCCTCGTTCTCGTCGTCCTCCCCCACCTTCCTTCCCCTCCCCCTTATCCTTCTTCTCCTCTTCTTCCTCTTTCTCTTTCCCCTCCTCTCTGACCAAAGTAGGAGGGCGTACACACCGCTCCTGGGCCCATGATGGGCCAGGCCTGGGGACAATGGATCTGTATAGATATCGTCGCCCTATCTTTGGCCTGTCTTGCACGGGGCACGGGCGGAAACCTGGAGGAGTACGGAAGCGGCCGCGAGGAGTCCGGCCAACCACAAGCGCCCGCCGCCGCTTCTGGCTTGCCGCGCAGTGGCGCCCCCAACGCAACTCCGCGCCGCCACCAATGCACTTCCACCGTTGGTGCCCGCACTCGCGCGCAGCCGCGGCAACGGCGAATGGCCCCAGGCCGCCCGCCGGTGCGGGTGCGTCGCGACTGCGGAATGGCCCGGCATGACGCACCCGCATGGGGGTTGATGGCGCCGTGCTGCCAACGAGCTCTTGGTGGTTTGAGCTAACGCGAACAGCCGCGCCAAGGCCAGCGCCTCCTTGCTCGGATTCCCTCCATCTTCCACTGCGAAGGGGACGGCGGCCGCTTCAAGTCAGCGCGCCCGCTTGCGCCGCGCCGCAGCCGCGGCAGCCGCATTGTCTCGCCGCGCGGCCCTCCATCGCGTCCTGCGCGATCGCGTGCGGCGTTCAGGTGAACAGTGGGAGGCTCAGCTGGGTGCGGGGCGTGGCTGGCAATGAAATTCCGCGTCTCTGGGGTCGCCGTTGCTGCGCGGGTGAGCAGGATATCCTGGTGCACGGTGCCTTGCGCCGCGCGCCGAGGGCAGTGCAGCCTGCGTCGCGCTGGCGGACCACGAGCTCGTCCGCGGCGAAGCCGCGCGCATGCCGCCCCCTTTATGTATGTGTATATATTTTTTATGTGTATATCTATACATGTACATATGTGTATGTATGCATGCATGCATGTTTGCCTGTCTGTCTGTCTGCCTGTCTGTCTGTCTGTCTGTCTGTATGTATGCATGCAAGTATGTATGTATGTATGTATGTATGTATGTGTGTATGTATGTGTGTATGTATGTATGTATGTATGTATGTATGTATGTATGTATGTATGTATGCATATATGCATGCATGCATACATGTATGTATGCATGCGTGTATGTATGTATGTGTGCATGTATCTATGTATGTATGTATGTATGTATGTATGTATGTATGTATGTATGCATGTATGTATGTATATATGTATGTATGTATGTATGCATGCATGCATGTATGTATGTATGTATGTATGTATGTATGTATGTATGTATGTATGTATGTATGTATGTATGTATGTATGTATGTATATATGTATGTATGTATGTATGTATGTATGTATGTATGTATGTATGTACGTATAGTTGTGTGTGTATGTGTGTATGTGTGTATGTGTGTATGTACGTACGCACGCACGTACGTATGTATGTATGTATGCATGCATGCGTGTATGTATGCACGTATGTATGAATGTATTTATGCATATATGTATGTACGTGTATATATACACACACATATATATATGTCGTGGCGCGCCGCAGATTTTGCGGCCCGAATGCCGGTGGTGGCACAAGCCGAAGGAGCCTGGCAAGGCGAGACTCAGCCAAAACCGCAGCGCGATGCCGAGCCACGCGTTGGTGAGCTGGCGCGTGGCAACGACACCGCTTGCGAAAAGCGCTCGTCCTGGCCGTCTCGCGGACGGCGTGGTGACTGCCGTCCGAGGGTCTGCGGCCGTGTCGCCGGCAGCGAGGTGGGCAACCGCAGCGAAGGAACTCGTAGAGAGCCAGGGCGCGCCGCGTGGCCAGTGCCTCGTCGCCCGCATGGGCGGTTTCGTCCCGCAGCGCGGTCGGAAGAGTCGCCGCGGCCATGCGCAGGCAGCGGTGCGCCCAGTGGCTCACCGCAGCTAGAGCGCTGCCGCTCCGCAAGCCAGGCCGCCGCAGGCAGCGCGCCAGGGAGAGGTGCCAGGAAGCCGCGTGCTCCGCCGCGGGAACCATGATCTCTATGCTCTGGAGCACCAGCCCCGCGTCCGGGACCCGCGCCTCCCCGTTCGGGATGCCGCAAATACGGGCCCAGAAAATGAAGTCATAATCCGTCCTTGTGGGAAGGTAGCGTCAGTGCCGCATGTCCGCTCAGGCCTGCTGCGCAGATTCTGCGTGGCCTCTGGTGGAGCCCGCTGCGGGCTGTATGTAAAACGCCCGCCTCAGAGCTGGCCGCGGCTAGAAGGCCTCTTCCGCCAGCGCAGCGGTGGGGGTAGCGGGTCCCGTTGGCTCGAGCCGTGGCGGATCACCAAGGGCTGGGGCTCAGGCTCGCGGTGTCCAAGGCGCGGTGCCGTGTCGACCCCTTGCCTCCTGCTCAGCTTCGTCGGGGCTGGTCTGCCGCGGAGGCGCACCGCGGCGCATCCGCGCGCCACGGCGTTTTGGCCAACTTCTACATTCCGGTAAAAGTAGGTGACCCTTCTGTGGCGATGTTGTGGTGGCCGCGGCTTGTTTCGCGGCGCTGGCCACTCCGAGGTAACACATAGGCAACACCTGGTTGGTGAGGGCGCCCACTTGGTCCCGCTGTGGTGTTGCGGGGATAAGGTCCGTGTGCAGTTGTGCGCAGCGTGCACCAATGTGACTGCGGGGCAGAAGCCCAAGCGCACCCAAAACAACACCTCTGGGACAATACATAGCCCCCACCACCATCGCTGCCGTATCCGTGTAGGACTCGTCGTGGGCGTCGCTATCGCGTTTCATTTGGCATTGCAGCGCCGCGGTTGTCCACGTCGAACAAAACTTCCGTATGCAAGCTCTGCCCTCTTTCCGCCCCCAACAGAACATTCATTCTGTAACAATGAACATCTGGTTGGCGACCTTGGAGGCCAGAGCGCCTGTGCACGCTTTCCAACATATGAAGTCACACTTTATTCTGCTGCTCCCGGTCTCGCAACGAACTGCAGCCGCAGGGCCGCGCGCTCGAAGCTAAGCTCCCCCAGGCGGCGGCGTGGCAGGGCAACACCGCGCCCACTGCTCATCTCTCGTGCCTCTTGGCCCAGCCCCTCTGTCCCGCGGCGCGTGGGTGTATTGTAAGTTTTCTGGAATTCCCACAGCAAGCGCTCCGCGTCGTCTTCAGCCGGGCCTTGCGCTGGCAGTGGAGGCTGCGGATCCGCCCGCGGGGAGGGGCTGGGGGGGGCGCTCGGCCTGGTCGTCCGGGGCCAGCTGTGTCCTGCCACCCATAACTCTGGAAGCCTCCCGGGTGTGCTCGTCCGACAGGGCCCCCCTGGATGCTCTGGATGTCCTTGACCCGTTTATATACACCTCGGCTACGCCGCACCAGCTGCCTGAACAAGAACCCTGCCAGAAGACCTGCACTACTCGAACTCATGCTCCCGCGCGGAATTGTGACACGAAGTCGGTGCTTTAAGAGCCTGCAGCCCTTGGATCAGCTGCCAGAGGCTCCCTCTACAAGCGACTACGCATGACAGTGCTAGCAAACCTTTCCCGAGGCCTCCAACCTCCGATATCGCGGAATCGTCAACAACATCGCAATCAAAAACAGCAAACACAATAAGGGTGATACTGTCTCCCACCCGACGGCGCAGCGCGAAAGCCGAACCGCCGCATCCGTCAGCGCGCCTCCCCCCGTCGTTCCACAACACCAGGTTGGACTCCGGGCATTCCCGACTTAGCTGGTCGAAATCGGGGTTACAAGCCGCGAAACTCTGACGATGATTCATGGCCCAGTTGCAGAGACCATCAGCTTCCTTGTTAAAGTCACGAGACCTCCACACGATGGGGTCCTCTTCATCGCTGATGGGGCTCCAACCCTGGACTCCGCATATATGCACTAAAAAGTCAGAACAGGAGGGGGGATGTGAAGCATGCGCTGGGGTGACTTCGCGCGCCCACAAACTATCAGCTATAATTTTGTTGTCCACTACCGCCCGGAATCGTCTATGAGGGGATTGCCGCTGAGTATGGGAATCCTTTGGGTGCAAAGGGAATCGAAACCTGCGGGAAATGTCTCCGCCCTGATGGAAGTTATGCCTAAACCCGGAAGGCGCTGCCCCTGCGGGTGCCGTGGCCGTGTATCTCTTACGTCTCTTCGTGGCTGGGACTTCGACGAGCTCACTCAAGGTACGGTCGTCGTCCACAGCAGCACTGGGGGACCGGGGGGTCTGGGCCAAAGGGTTACCGCGCCCGCCGCGGGAAGACTTGGGGCCAGGGCCGTCGGCGTCTGCCGGTGCAGTCTGACGTCGACGTTACAACCGTGGTCACCGCGCCCCCATCCAGGAAGCCCCCAACGAAGACAAATCTGGTTTACCCAAGAATCACGTTGGTTGTCCCGCACCTCCCGCTTCCCCAAAGTCGCCTCCTCCCACCCCGGGCGTAGCTGATCCCAAACATCGTCTGCCGTCTGCGCAACCGTCCCACGCTGTCGGTATCGCCACTCTCCCTGTTCGTCTTTCCAATGCGCTCTCGAAGACGCCGCTAGCGCCCGGCGTGTCTCGTGATAGTCGCCTCGGCGGAATAGCGACAGCACGCGGAGAGGGTAGCTCCAGCCTTCCCCGTCTTCTGGCCGAGAGAACTGCATCGACGTGTGCCTCCAAGCGTAAGCCGCCCGAAGAACTTTATGGTGGACCTGCGCAACTTTGAACTTCAAGGCTAGGGATGCAATCTGCTTCGACGTCATCGTGTTGTATGCCATTCGGCCCTCTCCAGCATGGCGCCAACGCAACCGGAATATTTTTACGAAGGTTGGTGTTCTCCCATGCCTTGAGCTCCTTCAACTGGCCTTCCGCCAACTTCCACGTGCCAGAATCGTAAATTGCGCTCGTCACGGGGCCCCGTGAATGAGCCGTGAACTTCTTTGCCCAGGTGGCAAGAGGGTTATGGGGCCTGGACCAATTGGCACCGTAGTTCGCTGCAGCCTTGTGTAGTCGATGGTCCATGGATTCGCGCGTGGAGCCCGAATGATCCAGGCGCGTCCCCAAGATCTCCATCTGCTCCACAATGGGGCAATAAATGCACTCACCGTTGTACGCGTGCGCATGAATGGCATTCGGATGTATATGCCCAGGTTCCGTGCCGGCAACCGTGGCGCGGGCTACAAGTATCGATGCCTCTAACATTTTTAATTGGAAACCGACCTGGTGCAGACACTTGTGCGTATCATAAAGCATCTGGCGCATGCTGGCATAACTGTCCGCAACCAGCGCCACATTATCCGCCCATGGCATAAGACAGAAAAAACGCGCTGTCCAGGCGCAGGCCGTGCCCGGCTCCGTCCCATAGCAAGACCTGCGCTTCGCAGACAAACCGCGTGACGAGGTTGAACGTCGACGGGGTCTCAACCCCTCCCTGACGGCCCCCCCAAAGTATTCCAAGCGCCCAGACTTCCCGACACCTGGAATTCGAATATCGGCCCACAAATCATGAATTCACGCATAATCGCATCGACGATGGGTGGCGGGGTGCTAGCTGCCAGAAGGGCCTGCGTGATCACCTGGTGAACCATCGAATTAAACGCAAATGCGACATCGAGCGACGCAATGAGCAAACCTGGACCTTTCCATTTATTTGATATTTGAAGAAACTTGCGCAACATGTCGACTATTTACCTGGTGCTCATGCCCTCCGTGAACCTGAACACTCTCGCCCTCGACCGCGATGCGAAACGTTGGGCGGCGAGCGCCGTGCACCTGAGGTGCCACTTCTGCAGCGTAGGCGTCTTAGCGATGTATCGGTAATCAGCGAAAGTGGCCTTCTTAGGGATCCCAACCAGCTCCGAATATATCCAGTGCTCTCCGTGGCCCTCGCCTGTCCGGGAATAAATGAAGAGGGGCAGCCGCGGCTTGAGTGACGGCGCGAAAGGCGCCTTCTTCCACATTTCATTGGTGGCCGTCCTTCGCTGGACTGGTTCCCCTGGCGAGGGCCCCTCTACTGCTCAAGAACTCCAGAAAACTAAATCGGGGCACTCCCCGGTTGGCAAGTCGATGGTCTTCAAGATCGGCTGCTGTCGCCGACGCCTGCAGACTCTGCAACCGCGTCCTTTGCGTGCTCACCTCGTCTCCATTCCGAAAGCGTGCAACAGAGACAGCCAGTGATAACGGTCGGTGCAAACGCCCCCGGGACGTTGAAAGCGCTCTCCGGCAGGGGCGGGCAGACTCGCAGGCGCGCGGATTGAAGACGAGCCGCCGCCAGCCTGGATCTGGTCCAGCTCTAAGTTGGCGACTCCTCGTCGGCGCGATCGTCGTATCCGGCTGTGTTCCCGACGAACGTCTCGATCAACGGGTAAACCCATCCTCCCTTCAAGTCTGATCTTCCGTTTCAGCTCCCTCTCCCTGTGCCCCGCCTGCTTCGATTGCCATCTCCTGAGCCCTCTGGTAGCGTGTGGAACAGGCGCTGCTCTGCGACCAACGACCTCTTCGAACTCCCTCGGTTCAATGTTGTCCAAACTGCTCAGCCCTGCCGCGCGCAAGCGTCTAAACGCCGCCTCGGCCTGCGAATCCTCGCAAGCCCAGCCCACCTTTGAGAAACCTTCGTGTTCGATCGTGGCGGGTTCCTCGCGCGGCGAAATCTCTGCGGCGATTGCGCGGTGATCGGATTTGAGACCGCGGCGCTTTCCCCAACCCAGAAGCTCAAACGTCCCCGAATATGACAGAGGACGCCCGACGTAATCGATAACGCTGCGTCTCCCTCGTGTGTCGGCCCAAGTCCACGGCTCCGAAATACGATCAGATTTGCGACGCCTCCGGAACGTGTTTGAGAGGTTGCATTTCCTGGCTGCCATAAATTGCGATAGTCGAGCCACTCTGGTGGCCCTGTGATGCGATTCCTGATCCAGGAAGAAATCCCCCGCCATCTCTTCGAGATTCCTGGGGGGGGGGGGGGGGTCAGGTTCGCGTCGACGCCGACCGCCCGCTGTCTCACCCTGGTCCCATATACCTCCCAGTCAGAGCTACGCCGTTCCACTAGCGACATCGTTTCCTCCCGGGCTTTTTCTGAACCAGGATCGCAACTAGGCGGTGGGTGGAAAGATGTGGGGCCGAGCGTGCCAACTTGTAACATGCGCAAATACTTAGAGGAAAAACACCTAAATATATAATCCTTCCGAATTGAAGGTGTGCCTATTCCGCAATCGTCGCCTACTTGTGAAACAATGTAGTGTTCCCTGCGGAGGCTCTCACCCCAAAGAGGTATCTCTTGCAAGAAAGAAACGAACTGTTTCTTCAGCTTGGACATTGCGCCCGCGACCCGCTTCTCGAACTTAGCATTCTTCTTCCTCAAGTTCAAAACGAAGGCGTTTACTTTTGAAAAATCCTGAATTAAGGTCTCCCTGTGGCACCGTCACTTTCGCATCCCCATCTCGAGCTCCTGCTTGGTGACACCTAGCTCCGTGAGCACGTCGTCGGCCCACGCGGGCAAGTTGTGCGCGTCGGGGCCAGCGACCTGTTTGTGCTCCCCCCCGTTCACGCACGCTGACCTTGATGCCCAACATGCGACCCCAATCTTCTTCAAGTGTCCATCCGCGGCTCGCACCAAACTCCTTCAACACATCGGCCAAGGCGCCGAAGGCCGAGTAGCGCTGCTTGCGGATCGGGTCCATCTCTGCCGTCACCTTGGGGTACTTGCCCTTGATCTGGACATCGCCCTCCGTCATCGCCTCTGTGATGGCCTGGCGCGCCTCGGCCATCCTTGATGGCGTGACCCAAAGCTGGAACCTGTACATGTTCTGCGTCACCCTCGCCTTGACCTCACCAGCGTGGCCCCGGATACCTTCAGGAATGCGAGGTTCGATTGCTGATAGCCAAGTCTTGGCTTCCACAAGGGTGCATCCCTGTGTGTCTCTCTCCTTGAATTCGCACAGCTTAATGTCCAAGTTGCTCGCCGCCCCTCCCCCCCACTGTTAGCCGAGGGCGGGGAGTCACCTTTCGGGGCAGCAGTCGACCTTCCAGAAGTAAACTTGCCCCTCTGGATCTGCTGCACTTGCTCGTGGAGCTCCTTCGTGTCCTTCTCCGACTTGGACAGCCTCGGGGAGTGCTCCGTCCGAAGCGTGTTCATTTCACGGGTCGTCCTGATCGTGAATACCTTCAAAGCCTCCGCCATACTCTTTGGCAACTGCGCAAGAAGGTACTGCTCACGTTCATCAGCCTCGAACTGCTTCCTCTTGCTGCCCGTGCCTACCTCCATTATCGCTCGATCTGAGAATCAAGGGAACTAAAGATAAACTGTCGACAGCGCGACCTGGACCTCGCAGAAGAGGTCTAACAATGACTCGAACCAGTACGGCTTGAGCACGGACTCTTGTAAACTCTTGCCGCAAAATGTCCCAAGACCCCCCCCGAGCACGGCGTCGCAGAAGGCCTCCCGCACGTCGGCCATGGAAAGCCAGACCGCCTCGGGGACCGTGTGGAATGCAATCGCAGGGTCGCGCAGGTTTCTCTTCCAGCGGCCCAGTGACGTCACCACAGCGAAAGCTAGAATGGGCTACAATCTGGTCGAATTCCACACGGCACAGCGAATAGGTGGCTGCACCAGGCCGAGCGTGTGCAGCGCAAGGTCACGCAGCCGATCCCATCCTTCCCGTGCTGCACCACCCCGCCCCTCCTCGCCTTCTGCCTCCTCCCCTCTCTCGCTGTATTTTTGCTCCCCGCCGTCGCCCCCCGAGAAACCGCAGCCAGGGGTCCCCCTCCTCCTCCCCTTTCCTGCTTCCTCTCCTGTCGCTGCAGCTGCGAGCGAGCCCAGGCCTCTCTTCCTCCTCCTCCCTCTCCTCCTCGCCCCGCCTCGCCCCGTCAGCCTCCCCTCCCCTCCCCTCCCCTCTATTTTGCCTCCCCCCCTCTCCTCTTCTCTCCCCTCTCCTTTCCCTCTCCCCGTCCCCTCTCCTCATCCCCAATCCTGGCGCGGCGTATTTTCGCCGTCGCAGCGCGGAGGCCGCAACAAAACACGTATCTCTGCGCGGCCGTGCCGATTTTGCAGGCGGCGTCCGAGAAGGACCTGCCGATGAAGCTTGCGAATGCAGCGAAGAAGAGGAAAGAGGAAAAACATAGGAAACAACTCCTATGAAACCTTCGTAAGGAAGATGAAAGCTAAGCCCGGTCAAAAGGCCATTAATCCAGATCAGGCCGAATTGCGCCCAAGATTCAGCCGGATTGGATTGCGCCAGTGTTCGACCACGGATATACAAGGGCCGATGCTGAATTTAAGCTTCCAGGAGTTGCATCTTAAAGAAGGAGCGGGTGACAATGATGAGGAAGTTGAGCGGATGTTGAGAAGAGGCAGGAAGCGAGCGCGACTGGATGTTTTGCATTTCTTGGGCAATGTGTTCGCCGTCGCTGAAGCGCATGGCCATCGTGCTGGGACCTGTTCCCGCACACCTGCCGAAGCGAGCAGGAGATATCGCAGCTGCAGGAAACGCCGTTTGGAGGGACAAGCTTGGCGCCAGGAAGCGCATTGGAGAAGGGGCGGGGCGAAGTGGAGGTGGAAGGCGTTAGTTTTGGCTCATAGCGCAGGGGTGGCCCAGCAGCAATGACGACGACGACGACGCCAGCGATGCTGATGATGCTGATGATGCGGATGCTGATGCTGTTGGTGATGATGGTGATGACGGTGGCGAAGAGAATCAGGAAAACGAGCGGATCAGAACGAACAGAGCAGGGCAGGGCGAGGACGGGAAACCTATGATGAACGCGCGGAGATCCGCTTGACCTTTCCCAGGCTGCACGCCAGGACCTGGCCAACCCAGGCGGACAACGTGTTGCGCTGCGGAGTGTGCTCGTCGAGCGCGCCAATCCAGAAGAAGCCACGGCCGGACTCGGCGCAGTGCCCCCCTGGGGCTCCGCCCGTGCTCAGGCCTGGCGAATCTTCGGCAGCTGGACACTCTCCGCCGTGTGCTCCACCTGAGCGCACGGCGACCCGCACGCGGCGCGCTCGGCACTCGAACTCGTGGCACTGCCCACGTCGAGACTACGTGCCATCCAAGAGTGCCTACTCGTGCCGATCTTTCAACCACGGAGCCCATGCTGCGACACTTTTACCAGTCACGCCGCCCGCCACCGAACCTCCCCACCACATCAGCCAACGACAGCCTCTCTCAAGAACTCCTGTGGGGCGAGGCTGATGCCGAAATCTCGAACTGTCTCTCTAATGCGACTGTAGCCGTGCTGCCGCAGTCTTGCAGTGGAATCGTCACCGTCCGCTGCGACGTTCGCCCTGCCTGTCCCCCAAACCACTTGCAGACTACGGCGCGCTCGGGCCAGTGCCGACGCGCGCAGTGGATTCTTCCCATATGCCAGCACCGCTTGAACCTTACGGAGGAAGGGTAAGAAGATGAGGATGATGAGGTTGAGGATGAGGATGGGGACAAGGATGATGATGCTCATGATGATAGTGATGATTACAGTGCTGCTACTGCTGAGGATGATGATAGTGATGATGTCAGTGATGATGATGATTATGATGATGATGCTGATGATGGTGATGGTGATGATGATGATGATGATGATGATGATGATGACGGTGACGACGACGACGATGATGACGATGATGATGATGATGACGAAGATGATGACGAAGATGATGCTGATGATGATGAGGAGAAGGAGAAGGACGAGGAGGATCATGACGAGGGAGATAATCAACACGAGGAGGTCGATGGGGGAAGTCTTACAATGATTACGCTGATTATGACGATGAGGAGGAGACGGGGAAGAGTACGATGGGGAAGATTCTAACAGCGAGCTCCAGCAAGAGTGCAAGCCGGCGGCAAGGCTGGACTTGCTCACATACGCTCCCCATACGAGGGGACTCGAAACAAAACGATCAGTGCACAGCTGGACAATTGCACCGAATCATAGGCGCGAGCTGCAGCAGCGACGGCAAAGAGACTGAGTTTTAACTGCCGCAGAAATGGCGGTCAGGATAGTAGCTCGGATCGTCCAGACCAGCCAGAGCGCGCCGTGGGGGATGTTCTCACCCTAGTCCCTCCAGCAATGAAACGCCTGCAAGTGGAGGATCCACAACCCTCAACATAGACCATAGACATAAGCACGACAGGAAAGAGAGGCATAGCCGTGAGCAAGCAAGTTAACCGCAAACGAGACTTAGGGCCTCGCCTGAGCTCTGCGCGGCCAATCCACGGAGCACGCAGCAACGCCCCGGTACCAAGTGGCACCCTCAGACGTCGAGGCAGCCGCGAAAGAGGACACGGTGGGCACGGGGCCCGTCCCAACCCTGCTTGAGAGACGCGGCGCGGGGATCCCCTCCCACCTCACGTGCGAGCAGCAAACGGCAGCGGGGGGTGGAGGAGCCTGCCCCCCGCACCCCACCGCAAGGCGCCCTCGAGCGCAGGCGCCCAGACGGAAATATGAAAGCCCACCAGCAGCACATGTACAGTCCAATTCTGGCCCCGAGGTCTTCGATGCCAGGAGCAGCGAGCGGCGCTTTGTCCTCCTCAAGACGGAGTGGCCCAGCCACATTGCGATGCACCGAGGACAAGAACGAACCATCGACTCTGGGGTGCTCAGAAGGCAAAGGCAACCTTGGCGGCCCAGACTGACCCCCGTCTACTTCCGAATGCTAGAGAGCGACTCGGGGAACAGCTCGCTCGAGAATGTTGGGACTTTGTGGTTGCCTCTGCAAGGCCACCATATCTGTGGAAAACTCCACTGCTGATGCAATCGAGGTTCTCGCTACCCTTCTTGAGTAGACTGAGCGTGCAACGGACTGCGAATTGCCTCGGATCAGAAGGGGCTGTGCGAACACACGCCAAACAACAAGAAAGCTGGAACTTCGGCTACAACTGTAGTAAGTGGCTGCTGTCAAACGTATTCCCACCCACCCAAGCCTCCCCACTGACTGACCGAAACCCTCCATCTGACTTAGCTGGATCACTCCCTCGTGCTACTCAGCTGCACGTAAGTCTTACAAGCTTCTACAATCTGCTTCTTGTTAAAGATTGAACTGCGCAACGCGCAAACACACTTCTTGGTGACAAGACCGAACACGTGTTGCCCACTGCGTGATGCCAGTGACACGTTCTCAGCCTTGGTGGTCTGGTGGGTCCTCCTTGGGCACCTCTCAACTTCAGCCTCACCCACCCCCGTGTCCAGAGGGGGCCACAGGGAAGGAAGGCGGCCCCAAGCTTGTAAACACATGTAGAAATCTTAATCACACTTTGCAGAACCGCCTTCTCAACTTCACTCCATCTGGGGTGTATGACGGCTGCTATTGTGGCTTCTCGATCAGCGTGGTCATTACCACTCCTCAGCCACCTCTCATTGTCAGAAATCCCCACCTCAGAAACATCCAGATGGGCCTTGACCTTGAAAGCCTCTCGAACCCATCTGAAGCCCTGCTGGAGAAACCGAAGCATCCCGCAGGGGGGCTGGAAATAAGCCAGCTGCTCTGCAACTGGTCCTACACACGATTTACAACATAAGGCGTTCATAGTAAAACGTGGATGGTAGCAATAGCGTTGAAATCGGCAGCCTGCGGGGTAGCTGTATCAAGGGCTTGAACTGGTCCGACAATTTGACCAGATGGGTTGGTTACCCTGGCTGTCTATTTGCGTCAGCGCCCACCCGTGCGATTCAATTTCGAGATTGGTGTGCTTGCTACAACTCCCGTCTGCGCACCAGTCCTCTTCCATGTCCGCATCTTGGCGTTCAAGATCAACCTAAGTTAGGTTAGCAGTGTCTGTTACAACTGGCCGATGGTGCACAGCCTCGATGTTCAAAACTCCTATAGCAAGCAACCGCGTTCGAGCGGAGACACTTTTTTGGATGTGAGGTGGGATTTGGTGACATGAGAACAAGCTTATCTACATTCACTCCCGTCTTAGTCGCTGGCGCTCTAGGGCAAGGGGCGAGGCTTGAAACAACATGTTCTTCAGCAAGGCTGGGCTGAACAGCGTGAGACGGACCTCTTCTCACTAAGCCGCTAGTTAAGGTCACGAAATTGGTCATTCCTCACCCAATCCTTTCCAAAGATCCGCCGATGCGCCCTTGGGCACGGAGTGGGCGTGTCCTCAAGTCCTTTGCCTAACCCTCTAAACCTCACTCCTCACCTCTGAGGATTCTTTAAGAGACCTAGACCCCTCGCTCTCAAATCTCTTGGGGCTTTCCGCGGCTTGTCGGGGATCCGGCGCGTTGATTTTTCTGGGCCCAAGAGGGCCTCCAGACAGGCAAAAAGGGCCCCAAGAGGCTCCAAAGACGGCCCGCGAGAGCCCCGAGTCGCCGAAACATTGTTCCAAGGCGCCCAAGGTGGACCCAAGATGACCCAAGAAGGCCTCCAAGACGCCCCAAGAGGCCTCTGAGAGGCCTCCCAAGAGGGCCCCAAGATGCACAAATCATGGATGTTCCTTAGGTGTTTGACAGATTTTGGCGTTCTCGCCTTTTCTGCCATCCAACGCTCCAAGACGGCCCCCAAGGCCACCCCAAGAGGCCTCCAATATTGCCCCAAGACGGCCTAAGAGCGCCCCAAGACGGCCCAAGTGGCGCCCAAGACGGCCCAAAAAGGGGCCCACGAGAAGGAACACGAACCGAAAATCCGAGCTTTCCGCCCCAAGAGGCCCCCAGGAGGCCCAAGAGGCGCCGAAGAGACCCCGAGAGGCCCCCAAGAAGCCCCCAAGAGGCCCCCAAGAGGCCCCGAGAGTCCCCCAAGAGGCCCAAGAGAGGCCTCAAGAGGCTTCAAATCTGCCCCCAAGAGGCCCCCGAGAGGCCTCCCACGAGATCCCAACAGACATCCAATAGGCTTCATACCAACAGCCCGTGCATAGTGGCGCGATTGATCGAAGGCCATTCGATGACATCAGCGCAGTGATAGGTCCCTTGACCTGGCGTTGAGCAGACACATCCGAAACGAAAGCCGATACCCAGCCTTCTCGAAGTTCCTTGAAGCTCAAACCAAACTCGTAAGATCCTGGGTGCACCGTCCGAACTTCCTTCGAACATCTGAAAATGGGGGCGATGAATCCTCGTCGCTGAGGGTCGTCCTCAAGGGTAAGAAGAATGGTGCCGTTGCGTCCTTGCGCCCCAAATCGCGACACCTTACCCGTAGCCCGTCTGACTCGTAAAAGCTCTAAGTCAGGCATCCGTGGACTTCAGCTCCGTAGAGAACCCCAGGGAGACAACCCGAAACGAAAAAGCGCTTCGAGTATCGCCCTGAAGATTTGCTGAAGTGAGTCGGAGGAGGAGGCGGAAGAGGAGGAGGAGGAGGAGGAGGAGGAGGAAGAAGAGGGGGGGTGACTGATGATGATGATGATGCTGATGCTGATGATGATGCTGATGATGATGTTGATGTTGATGGTGTTGATGTTGTTGATGCTGATGGTTATGATGCTGCTGTTGATGCTGATGATGGACGTGATGCTACAATGAAAAGAATCCAGATGTCGGGCGGTACGAGCACGGAGACACCGCGCACCGCGCGCAGGGCGTGTCCGTGCATGCTCCCCCGTCCGCGGACAACATCTCAATTCCCCGTCCTCGTCCTCCTGCTGCGACCCCTGTTAAACAGGCCAGATAAACATATCAATAGTACAGTGGCCCCGTGCAGACAGTATTCCACAGTGCCGCTCACAGAAAGAATCGCGCGATTGCGGCGTGGACCGAGGAGTCAACTAGGCTCCATAGGCGGTCAATTGAATAAAACATGCACGGAGAGGAGGGAGGGAGGAAGAAGAACAACGTAAAACACAAAAACCCTAATTTCCAAGCGTCGCAGAACATATACGGCCACTTTTCTCGCCTCATTTCGGGCCTCCTCCTCTCCCCCTTCTCGCAATCCTTCAACGTCTCCGATCGTTCCTACATCGCCTTCCTACCACCCGACTTACCGCCACGTCGTCCAGCCTGGCTACAATCTATGCACAAGCTCGCAGGCAACGCCGAGAGCAAAAACAACCCGGGAAAGCCAACTGATGAAAACTGTCATGAAGTGCGGCTTCCCTCAGGTTTCTGTGCCTCGGCTCAGCAGTCCCAGGCTGAAGGGAGCCGAAAAGGGGGGGGCTGGCTAGGGGACGGAACGGCGGCCTCGCATCGAAGCTGCGTCGTCGATGCTTCGGCGGGAAGACCGCGGTAGCGAATCGGCGCTCTCCTGGGCTATTTGAGGGGGAAGAAGCCCCGATCGGCGATGAATGGCTGGGGTCGGTGCCTGCCTAAAGGGGTCTTCCTTGCCATGCAAGGAACGGCTCCCTGAAGGAACCGGGTCCTGGGCCCCAAGGCTCTTCCCTGGCACCAATTCTTCATCCCGAACCGCTTTTCGACGGTCCTGGGGCCCCGCCGGGAAGGGCCCCCAGGGCCCGAAAACTGCCCGAAAACTGCGACAACGCCTCCCAGCCTCAGGACCCTTGAGCTTCACTGCGGCCTCCCCCTAGCCAGATCCCCCGTTTCGGCGCGCGCCCCCAACATGCAAGCGTCGACGACGATGTCGACGGCGACGTCCAAGGCGTCCAACGCGGCCCCGATGGCCTGTGAAGCCTCGCGGCGTCCCTCAGCACGCGGCCTGGGGGCCCCCGCGGCGCCCCAGAGCTCGGAAGGGGGCCGTCGGCTCGGGGAGGAGGACGGGCAGACGAGAGAGAAGGAGTGGGAGGGGGGAGCACGAGGAGGGACGGGGACGGGGAGGAGTGCGAGAAGGGTGTAGGACGAGCAGGATTGAGGGCGATGCTGAGGAGGAGGAGGAGGAGGAGGAGGAGGAGGAGGAGGAGGGAGACGAAGAGGAGGAGGATGATGATGATGATGATGAGGAGGAGGAGGAGGAGGAGGAGGAGGAGGAGGATGAGGATTGCAGTGTAGCGTTAATGCCATTGCTGAGAAACACAACCCTGTGGCGGCGTTTGTGAAGGTTGAATGACAAAGCCTTTGTTGATCCCTGAGCTTGTGCATGGACTGCTGTTGGCAACTGGTGTCGGTGCGTGGTATGCGTGTTCAGCACACCCTGGGACAGCCACCCCTGTTCGACACACTAGGTTTGACGGGGGGTGCTTCACGATAGCCCCTATCGCCTCCTACCGTAGAAGTGATAAATCATGATGCGTGTCTCACCACCTGATCAGAGGATGGGCTGGCCCCCCCCCGAATAGCATCAGACGCTGGATCCTTTACCTTGTAAGGGTGTCCCTGGCAGCTCACTGGGGGCCACAAGGCAAGACGACTTGCTAACCCAATTGGGACATGTGCGCTCTCTACACCGCGAGGAGGATTACCATCCTGGTTGTGACGGGGGGGGCCGCTCCGCATCAGGGCAGCATGGAAATCTGTCCTGCAGCATGCCGGGACGCCACCTTAGGGTTTCCAAGGGGGGACCTGCGCCATCGCAGGTCGGATGGCCACCCCAGGGGTGGCACGGGTAGGCAGCTCTCAGGCAGGCTGGGTCGCCCCGCCCAAGGGTGGAGGAAAGGGTGGACCCTCTCCACTGCCGCCGATGTCTCCGCTTTGGGGTGACAAAAAGGGAAATGGTCCACAAGATAGCGACCGCCACCCTGGCGGTTTCCGGGGGAAACTAGACCAGCCGGGCACCCTTCCACCTGAGGGGTGACAAGGGGGCCCTGCTCCAACGCGGAGTCATCGCTACTCTAAGGGTGACGGCTGGTTGGCTCTCCAACAGGACTGATCGCTGGCCTACGGGTGACCGAGGGACCTACTCCACAGCAGTGCGGATCATCGCCACTCTAGGGGTGACGGTCAGGCGTCTCCCCAGCGGGACTGATCGCCGGCCTGCGTGTGACAGAGGAAAGCCTCCTCCACAACGTGGCGGAGCGCCACCCCTGGGACAACAAGTTGGCGCATGCTGCTCATCCGTAAAGCGATGGCTGGCTGTCGTTCGACCGCCAGTCAAAGTACACGTCGATCCAACTAGTTGCGCCCAGAGCGTCTTGGCCTCCCCCTGTTCTCGAGCACACGCCAGCGCAGAATGTTGTCTAAGTGTCCCCCCGACCGCGGATGCACCGCCCAGCAGGCGGCTGCGCCCGAGCGCTTTGGTTCTGGTTTCGGCGGTGGACAAACCTCCCTTGCATAAACCACCCTTTAGTGGAAACGGCCTAGGACCGAAACCGACGGATCTGGACCCGCAAAAACGACGGCCGCGACGCCCTCTCGCAAAACGAAAACGGCCAATTCGCTCATCGACGTGTCAGGGTAGGAGGTCTATCAACCTCCGACGGTTTCTGTTGCACTCAGGGCGTGCTGGCAGTCTAAACGGTCGCCGCATCTGTGCGGTCGCCGCCGTTCGGGCCGGGTTGACGTCACCACGGCTCTCGTCTCCCTGTACGACGCGGCCTCCAGTTGACCTCGTTCCTCCTGGGGATGCGGGCGATGAGCGGAAGCGCACCTGGACGGGATGATAAGAGGTGGGGATGGGACGGACGTCGGAGTCGGTGAGATCCGCCATGACAATTTTGCTTGCTACCACTGCAATTGCAGCCTTCGCCGGCACAGGGTTGCAACCCTCCGTTCTCCAGGATATTCCCCCCAGGCCCTCCAAGGGCTGGACCTAAGGAGGGGGTAGGACTACTAAAGGCGGGCCGCGAGGATCTCTCCACCTGTCTGAAGCGGATGCAATTGAGACGAGGTTCCTTCCTCACCTCTTGCCTTCACGCACGCCGTACTGCCAAAGAAGATGTCACCTCGAGCTCGTGAACGCTGTCCAAAATCGAAAGGTCGTCCGCATGGACGCCCCGAATTACCGTGACGTGCGCGCCGGGCCTGGACGGCAGGCCTTGATGTCCATTCAAATGTCTGTCGGAAGATGTTCGGCCCTCTCCTCGTGCTGTGTTTTGCAGATAGGGTTGTAGACATTGACTTCTCTGTTCTTGTTTAATCCGATTCTTTTCGGTGTGTCAACATGGTGTTCTCGCTGCAGCGTGGGCCTCAGTTTCGGATCGGCCCTTTGCTCCCATCTTTCAGAAGGGAGCTCTCGCCCAAGACTTTTCTGGATCCGATCCCCTTTTCATCCTTGTCCCCCACTCTTGATCAGCGTCAGCATCAATATCATCATCACCACCATGACCATGACCATGACAATCATCCTGAACTTCCTCATCTTCATCATCAACATCACCACGACCATCATCATCATCATCATCATCACCACCACCATCATTATCATCATCGTCATCAAAATCATCGTCATCAACATCAGCATCATCAACACTTTTACCATCGTGAAGGTCATCGTCATCATCACCATCACCACCACAATCATCATCAGCTTCATCATCATCGTCACCATCACCATCACCATCACCATCATGATCACCATCATCATCATCATCATCATCATCATCATCATCATCATCATCGTCATGATCATCATCACCATCATCATCATCATAATCACCACTCGAATCACCATCAGCACCATCGTCATCAATATCACCATCACCACCATCACTACCACCATAATCATCCTCGTCATTGTCATCATCATCAGCACCATCATCATCGCCACCATCTTCGTCATCACCATCATCACCATCACCTTCCTAATCACCATCACCATGACAACCATCATCATCATCATCATCATCATCATCATCATCATCATCATCATCATCATCATCATCATCATAATCATCACCATCATCATCATCGTAATCATGATCATAATCATCATCATCACCATCACCATCACCATCACCATCACCATCACCATCACCATCACCATCACCATCACCATCACCATCACCATCACCATCATCATCATCATCATCATCATCATCATCATCATCATCATCATCATCATCATCATCATTACCATGACTACCATCATTACCAGCACTTCCACCATCACCACAGTCATCGCCATCATTAACATCACCATCGTCATCGTCATCGCCATCCCACAACTTATTTCGAACACCCAGAGGTGTCGAAACAGTGTCGAGCGGGTATCGCCTCCCAGGGCCCGGCACGTGAAAACCCTAAAGTTTCGGTACTTTCTTGGCCTCGAAATGATTTCTGGCAATCTAGGCTAAAGTAGGTTGGAGCATCATAACTCTCGTGGTAGAGCGGGTCCTGCACTCCGAGGATGTCGTGGGCGAGCAGCTTGTCCAACCCTCGCCGCGGCGACCGCAGCGCGCACCTCGTCCGCGAGGGCCGCTGGCGCGGCCTCGGCCAGGGGCCTCTCGGCGAGCGACAGCAGGGCAGCGGCGGCCGAGGGAGGCGTCCGCACCTCGGTCCCTGCGCCAAGCTGCGCCGGCGCGTCCAGCCGCCCGGGGCGGCTGGCCAGCCGGAAGCAGGTTGGATGCTCACTCTGGGGTCCTTCCTGGAGACACTCGCTCCACCCGTGCGTCGAAGCTGCGCCGAACGTCCGTCGCTCCGAATCGTCCTTGAGCCGAGCCTGAGTCGAGCCTGAGTCAAACTTGAGTCGATCGTGAGTCGAACTGGGGTCGAACAGATCCGTTAGGGCCCCAGGAAGGTTCCCTAAACGAGCATTAAAAGGACCCCTGCCAGCACCCCAGCCAGGAAAGCCGCCGCGAGGGCCCCCACGACGCCTGGGCACGCTGCCGTCGGCGGGCACGGGGGCGCCGCGGGGCAGGCGATCAGCCGAGCGCGCCCTCGTCAGGCCGAGAGGGCGTGCAGTCGCACAAGCAGGAGGGCAAGGCGAGGCAAGGCAAGGCGCCGATGTTCGCCCCAGGGGGGGGGGGCAGCCCTCTAAGAGCTCGGCTGGGGCGCCAGAGCGCCGAAACTCCAATGTCGCAGTGCACGATTGCTTCAGAATCCGGAATTCGCACAAGCAGGAGGGCGAGTACATGGAGATTGCCAGGAGCCACCAAATGCCGAGCACCCCAACTGCAGCGCGTACTCCGTGCACTGCCGGCCGAGGTGGGGCGCTTAGAAAACCCTGAGCCAAAGAAGACTACAACCATCATCATCACAGCCATAATCACAGTCATCATCACAGTCATCATCATCACCATCACCATCACCATCACCATCACCATCACCATCACCATCATCATCATCATCATCATCATCATCATCATCATCATCATCATCATCATCATCATCATCATCATCATCATCATACTCATCATCATCATCATCATACTCATCACACTCATCATCACCGTCATAAGCACTATCATCATCATCACCACCATCCTCATCATCATCATCGTCGTCGTTATCATCGTCATCGCAATCATAATCATAATCATAATCATCCTCCACATCACCATCATCGTCATCCTCATCCTCATCGTCATTGTCATCGTCATCATCATCACCACCATCCCCATCCCCATCACCATCGCGATCACCATCATCATCGTCATTATCATCATCGTCATCGTCATCTCCACCATTACCACCACCATCAACAGTACTACCACCACCATCATCATCATCATCATCATCATCATCATCATCATCATCACCATCATCATCATCATCATCATCATCATCATCATTCTCATCATCATCACCATCATCATCATCATCACCATCACCATCATCACCATCACCATCACCATCACCATCACCATCACCATCACCATCACCATCAACACCACCATCACCACCATCATCACCATCATCATCATCACCACTATCACCATCATCATCCATCAACATCGTCATCATCACAAGCATTGCCATCTGCATCCTCGACACGAACAATCAGAACGTCATCATGGTGACCATCATCATTATCGTGGTCGTCGTGCCGTCGGATGATGTTCCCGGAAGAGGCCTCCTGGAACATCAGCCTGGTTGTGTGTTCGGGGCCTGGACGGATTGTCGGGAGTGAAGGATGTTGGCCTCCTGGGGGTCCGGTACAAGCGTATTGGGAGCCTCTGGGGGGCGTGGTGGGGCCGACTTGGAGCCATCTGGA